GGAGCAGTCTGGGATGATCTTGGACAACTGCACAATCCAGTTGTTAATCTTGTCTCGGCGGCGGCGTTCAACTGGGGGGCAAAAGGGAGGACAAGGTGACTCAGTGAGAACTCACCACAGGCCCCGTCGAGCTACCTGAGCCCTCCTGCTCAGACACCACGGCTGCCCCCAACCCCACCAACTAGTACCCACCTTCATTGTGCTGAGCCCTGCGTTTCTCATCCCGAGTTGTCCTGGGGGCTTCTGACTTCCTGGTGACAAACCCCAGGGTGGCCAGAGTAAGGGAAGGACAAAAAATAAGATTAGAGGTTGCGGTCAGGAATGACACAGGAGTTGGCGGGGATTGAGACCACCACGGCAACGGAGAAGGAGCGGGGGCTACTCACGGGGAATAAGGGTGAGTCCTGGGGGCAATGGAGCGCTGGCTTCCTCCTTGCAACACCTCTTGGGGTGACATCATCACAAAGAATTGGCCTGTGAAGGTGGAGGGTAGGCTGTGTCGGGACGTGGGACTTAGGAACCGCATCAAGCTCTGAGGCCAAGGTCCTAGCTAGGATCCTCCTCTGGAGGGATCCTTCCTCCTGCTGGAAGGGCAGCCCCAGACTCACTGCCTGCCCAGGTCTCGGTGAGCATTAAGGGGGTCCCAGGAAAGGCCCACCCCCGATTCTAGCCCTTCCGGTCGGCACCCCCACGTAGCTCACCGGTGCCGGGAGGGGTCGCCTGCCCCAGCAGGGCCTCCGAGCCTTGGGTAGTAACAACAGCTGCTGTACTCCCCGATGTGGTACCCCCTGCCCCATCCCCCACTGCAGTGCTGGGGAAGTAAGTGTAGTGCGTCTCGGCGGCTGTCCCCTCCGCGTCAACAGCATCATCACTGGTGAATGCACCCTGGATCACCGCCTGGGAAGGGGAACAACAGAACGGAGTCCAGTGTCCGTCAGGTGCTTCCCACTGAGCTACCCTGAAGCTTCTATCCCTGGGGGTAAGGAGAGAGAAACATCCAGAAAGGGAAAACCTGGTGCCTTGGGACAAGGCAGCCCCAGATGCCTCGCCACCTCCAGCCCTGCTCTGATCTCACAGGTTTGGCTTCACCTTACCCCTCGGAGCTCCAGTCCCCTCACCAGCCCAGGCCCCCGTACCTGGGTCATGGACTGAGTGGCAGGATAGCCACTGATGGCGCCAGTCCCTTCAGTCTGGCCATCCAGCTGCCCCTCAGACACCTGGATCACCCTGTACATCACCTAGAAGCAGGAGGAAATGGGAAAGTGGGGAGAGAGAATGCAGGAGTCAATGCTGGGGCCCAGGCCGCTCATAAAGCTTCTCTCGGACCGAGCCCTGAAATAAGAGTGCTTCAGGGACAAAGCTTCAGCCATTCCCCTTCCGTCCCCAGAGGTTTTGGCCAAGCCTCCACCCCCCTCGGACCTCTCCTCCAAACCTCCTCTGCCCGGCCCCTCCCTCCCACCCCGCAGGCGTCCCCGTGGTCACCGCCTCCTCCAAGCCAGGTCTCCCCCGACAGGCTCATTACCTCCCTCAACCCCAACCCCTGGTAACACCTGCAGGCAGCTGGCCCCCTCCCTTACCTGGCCCCCATTCTCAGTTCGGAAGACGTACTTGACGTTGGGGTCAGGGAAGGTGGCAGCTGACTGGATGCTGGCAATAGCCACGCTGGTGGGGTCCTCCCCAGTTGCCACTGCACCTGAGTTAGACGAGCAAGGAAGAAGCCTGCGACTTACTGCCTTTCTCCCTCTTTCCACCTGCATGTCACTCAGAAGGACCAGGGTGCATGGTAGATGCGCCCATGGGGGATGGGGAGAGGCCAAGCTGGGCTCCTGGGCTCAGGTCTGTTTCGACCACTCACCCTCCTGAATCTGCACTGTCCCCTCTTCTGCTTCAGCTGTTTTCTGCTGCCTGTTTGTGACGGGACAAACGAAAGGAGGGAAGAAGGGAAGAAAACGTTCAATGACCCAGTAACATACGGCTTCCAGACTCAATGGCATTCCCGACAGACGCCGGGTTAGGTTAGAATAACAACAGCTGGTATTTACTGAGTGTTTACTGCGGGCACAGCACTGAGCTAAGCACTTCACACGCGTTATTATTCAGCACTCAGAACAGCACAGTGGGGCGAGCAGCGCTACTCGCATTCTGTGGATGAGACACCAGACCAGGCAGCTGGTCAGCGACGGGGCTGAGATCAGAATCTAGGTCTGCCCGGCTCCAGAGCCAGCGCTCTTAGCCGTTCTGCCTCCTCCCGCGCCTCCCGTCTCCCGTCTCCCGCCCGCCGCTTCTTCACTCACCCCTTCATCTCTCTGTAAGGCGGCACATCCGAGGAGCCGGTCCTTCTTTGGAGTCTTTGAATCTCCTGCCTCACAGGCCTGAGTGCTAAGTCCTGACAGAAATCAGGGAGTTTGCAGCTGAGTCCAGGAAACTCAATAGTCTCTCTGTTTCAAGAAGCTGGGCTCCAGGGAGACTCAGCCAAGTACATAATGCAATCAATCTACAGAGGACAGTCGGTTTCCTCCATTCTGATGCTGAGAGGTGGGGTATGGTGGTTGAAAAAGCAACCCTACAGTGTTTCTCAGCCCTCCATTATCGCTTCAAGTCACGGTCTTTATACTTAAAGACGGAGGAACAACATATTTCTGGATGGACCATGACTAAAGTTATCACGATACGCCATGTTTAGACCACCACTACCAAAAACCAGGGCCACTGGACGCTGGGGCTTCTTTGAGCTTCTGAGCCACATACAGGACTCAAAAATTTCTGTTCTCTCACCTAGGAAGGGGAAACCTCCCTGCACCATAAAGAACATAGTTGGCCCCTTGGGCCTCATTCTATTTGGCCCCTTGGGCTCCTGCTTTGGAGTGTCCGGATTTATGTCATTTGTTAGACACCCTAAAGTCCAAGTGTGTCATTTGCAAGCCCCTTCTATTTTCTTCACCAAGCTTTCCCCTAGAACAACACAGTTGCTAAAATGTTGCCATGACAACTCCAAGTCAACTGAACCTCAGCAAGAAGGGAAAAAACTCCAGGTTCAAGGTTCGGAAGGAGAGACAATGGAAAAGGAACTCATTTGCACGGTGCCCGCCTTAGGACCCTGACACCCAGCCAAGAGGGCAGGAAAAACAATGAGCTGAGACAGATGCCTCGAGAAAAGATACAGCTACCCTGTACAAAGGAACAAATTTATCCCCGCACGAACGGTAAGATTTTGGTGTAGACTCCACCCAGAAGGTCCCCGAAACCTTTCCTATCTAAGGAAAATCTTCAACGGATGGGCCCTGGAAAGTCCACATCGAAGGAAAGCGTTGACCAAAACAAACAAGCAAACAAACAAACAAAAAACCAAAACCCAGAAAACAAAAACAAAAAAGAAAAAAAGAAAAAGAACTGAAAGTGAAACTGTCCGGAGGAAGTCACGCTGCCAGAAGATCCCAGTCCCTCAGGGGAAGTAGCGCCTGCGTTGCGGTACCACCTACCTGTCCATCCTCCAACCGCCGGAGGAAGCGGCCCTCCGAGGCTTCTGCGCTGACCGCGGGAGGAGGCGAGGGGAGAGACGGCGGGGCACCGGAGGCGTCTCTGTCGCCCACAGCTGTCAGCCAGGGGCGGCCTCGGAGGACGCCAGCAACCGGGTCAGGCCGCTAATTCAAACCTTGGTTGGACATCCGGCAGCATTTCCTGAGCCTTAGGGGATGCGACACGGAAACGCGGCCGGGCAGTTGTGGCGTGTGCGCTCGGGCCGGGAGGGCCCGGCGAGAGCCCCTGCTAAGTCTGGACACAAAGGGGGAAATCACCAAGTCCCCAAGAAGCCCGGCGCCCCGACCGTGCCCACGCGGGCGGCGTCTCCCCGCAGGCCCTGCGGCCGGCAGGCGCGAGCCCGCGAGCCCGCGAGCCCGGGAGCCCGGGCGGCCGCCGCGCTCGCCCCGCGACCCCGCGCTGCGCTCGGCGGCCAGGAACGGGCGCGGGGCTCGGCGGGCCCGCGGTCCCGGCCGGCGGCTGGCAGCGCAGGAGGGCGGGGACGCGCGCGCTCGGGGGCGGGGAGAGCGCTCGGCCCACAAAGGGGGGCGGGCGAGCGAGGAGCGGGCACGGCCCCCTCCCTCAAAACAAAGGCTTCCTCCCCGGGAGGTCCGCCGCCTGAAAACTGCAGCGGAATCAAGGCTGCCCTGCCCAGCGGCCCACCCAGCCTCCGGACCCCCGACTCCCGTCCGGGCCCGAACTCACCGGCCGAGGCCGCCGAGGCCGCGGATCTCCCCTGACCGAGCTCTGCCTCTCCCGGACTCGGAGAGCTCTCCATGGACAGCTGCTCATGCGCACTCCCGGCCTGCGGCCATGTTGGTGAAGGGCGGAAGTATCTCTCTGGACCCGCCCAGCCTCCTCAGCCTCTGAGCTGCCCCACTTCCGGTCCTTTCCTCCTGGTGAGGCGAAAAGATGCCGACGGGTGGGGATGTCGCCGGGGCGGAGAAGAAGGAACTTCCTGGGATCCCCGGAGAGTGACATTGAAGACTTCGTCGCTTTCGGCAAGAAAGAAAGACGACTAATGTGTGCTACCCTCTTCCTGCCGAACAAGGCGTTTTTAGTGGTAGAAAGGAGCGAGGCTGGCTCGGATCGAGGGAAGGATGTCGGACGGAGGCGCCATCTTTAACAAGGGCTACATAGGAGGCCATCTTGGATCAGGACCCTGTTTTGGCGTCCACTGGAGAGGAGGACGGTTCTGCCTACGGTCTTTTGTACTAGCGTCAGCAGTTACTACCCAAAGACCCCCAGAGCTTCCAGTTTTTGCGAGGCTTTCAGTCGCTGTGAGAAGGACCTTGATTCCCAATCTTCTCGGTCGAGACTTAGCCGTAATGGATCCGGAGTGTGCTGTGATGAGAAGAGTTTAGTCTCTTGGAGCCAGACGCACTCGGATCTCAAACCTGCCGCTCTCACTTCTTACCGCTGAGATCTCTGGCAAGCCTTGGACTTAATCAGCCTCCCTAACTGACCTCACTGTACAGGTCTCCTATCCGGAAAATGGAGATCCCGGTACCAGCCTTGCGGAATTGTTACGTGGAGTAACTAAAATCAAGAGCATAGATTGTTTGCTTGTAGAATACGCAGCCTGTACTGATAGAGAACGAGCATTATGTAAATACAAGTTTCTCTTCCTCGTTTCCTGGCCACCATGAACCTAGCTCTAGTTTCTAGCCACAGGTCTCCATGACAACGACAGAGGAAGAGCACCCAAACAACTGCGAAAGGACGTTTTGCCAAACGTGAAAATACGACCCCTATCACCTAAGACTCTATTAAGCATAATGAGACTCCACACTGTTTACATATAAAAGTACAACTTTTATTCTGAGACATTGCTTCTAACTAGAACAGAATCTGCAGCCCCAGCCTGTCTGGAGAAGCAGTCCCATGGCCTGAGTTACGCCATTCCCCTTCCCCGAAATAGGAGGAAGTTATTCTGAAGGAAAAATGAGAAGCCAGGGAGATCCGTACAAGACCTCCCTTCCTAAAGGGGACTGGAGGCAGACGGTAGGGATGCTGGAAAGGGGGCCAGTCCGGCTTTTGAGGCCCGAAGCCTTCAACGAGCTCCTTGACGTGGTCCTCCTAATCTAGAGCTAGGAGGGTCTGGAGGAATCCAAGAGCAGAGTCAGGATGGGCAGTTCAGAAGTGTTTATGTGTGACAGGCTCTGACATGGCCCTTTCCTCCCCTCCTCCACCCTGGTCTTCCACGAAGGGAAGTGCACAGCCTCAGAGGAGGGCAGGCACTTTGCTGAGTTCCCTCTTCATTCTTCATGTTGAGAAACCTCTTAAGTATTCCGCCTACTCTTTGTTTCCTTTGACCAAGGCCCCAGTCCCTGGTAACAGGATTTTGGTGACTTTCTTGGGAATATTCTAAGGGATAAGTGCTTTGTGTCTGAGACAAACTCAGGTGAACCAACTGAGGCAATGCTTCCCACAGTCAAGAAGAGAAGCTGGAGGGTCAAAGCCTATGGTGTTGGGCACTACAGCTGCTCAGGCTGCAGAAGAGACAGCTAGTTTGGGATCCTCGAGATTGGAGACAACCTACTACCCTCTTTGCCCAGTGCTATGGTCCTACTCACAGATCCTCACCCATCCCAGGGGTAGCCTGTGTTTCAAATGCATATGATCGGCGCTGGGGGGACAGAAGAGGGTCAGGGGGCTGGTGTTCCCTGGGGGGCAGACTATGCCGACTACGGTGTCCAGACCCTTCTGTGTCTTCGGGTGGGAGCTCCAGGCAGCTAAGTGGCCGAGGAGAATAGGCAGGGATCATACTACAGGGGGAGGTTCTGGGGATGAGGCTATAGTCCCCACCCCCAGTACAGGTCTGGGTCCGCCGAACTCCCTGAGCCTCAGTCCTCTGGCGGTCCCGGGCCAAGGCCACAGCAGCATCAAAAGAAAGACTGCCTCCATTCCTCCAAGAGGAACGGGAGGCTCTGGACCCCCAAGCCCTTTCCCCAGGAGTCCCATCAAGCCGACCAGGCCTTGGGCATGGGTTTGCAGGCGCCACATGGATCTTGCTACACATTGCACTAGGCATCTTGGCAAATTGTGGTTTGGGGGGCACCACAGGCACAGAGCGGACCTGTTGGACCTGAACCAGGGAGGAAGCCAGGCGCATGCCCACACCGCTAGGTGAGCCAAGAGGACAGGGGCACAGGTTGCAGCCCTCTGGACTGAGCTGCCCCTCAGGCTCTATCTCCTCAAGCTGGGGTGGCTGTGGGGTTGCCTCAGAGGACTGGGAATTGCCCCCTTTGGCACTGTCAACCTCCAGGGACTCTACGTGTGACCCTTCAGGAGGGGAGTCCTTTCCTAAATGGTCACCTCCAGCCCTCTGGTCTCTCTCAGACTCTCCATCCCCACTCTCCCTGTCCATGCTGACTTCTCCTCCTCCTCCTCCTCCAGCTGCTGCTTCTGGGCTTCTGCCATCTTCACCATCTCCTCGGTCTTCTCTTGCCTCTTGGTCCTTCGGCCCCTCCTGCCCTTTAACCTCATCCTCTCTGGCTTCTTCTGCCTCTTGTTTGTGTACAACTTCCCAGCTCTCCTGAGCAACTTGGTTTTCCTGGACCCCACACTCTGGGTCGCTTCTGGCTCGTACCTGGCCTTCCTCAGCCTCTTCCTCTCTCTCAGTCTTTCTTTCCATCTCCTTGTCTTTGCCCTGCTCTCCTTCTGTTCCCTCCACATCCTGAGCTTCCTTCATACTCTCATCCTCCTGCTGGCCTTTAGACTCCTCTCCCTTGGCCTCTGTCTCTTTCCCACTCTCTTCTCTCAAACTGACCATCATCTCTTGGCTTTCCCCAGCCCTCCCTCCTTCCTCACCTGCCTCTCCATCCTCCACCTCACTCTCCGGACTCCCCTCAGCCTCCTCCCTGATGGCCCATGTGTTCTCAGGCTCAGCCTCCTTGGCCTCCCCTACTTTGCAGCATGCATCTTCTCCCTCGGCCTGCCCTGGAGCCCCCTGTCTCCCACACCCTGCTGTCTCTTCCTCCAGACTTCCTGGACCCTCCCAGGTTGGGTGTTTGGGCATCAGAAGGGGACTTAGGTCATCATAGGCACTCAGGAAGACTTCCTCCCCACTTTCCTCTTCTCCTTCGGGTCTGGGGGCAGCAGAGTCCGGGGAACAGCAGCTGGGGGCCAAGACAAACTGCGCCTCATCCAGGGACAGGTCATCTAGGGGTGGCTCCACGGAGAACTCCTCCACCTGTAGACATAGCACTGGAGCTCAGGACCAGATGGCCCTGTCCACCCTCTGGCTTCCTCACCACCCTCAAACCCAGCACAGCTCCTCCTTACCTGAGGCCCAACTCGCAAGAGCTCCTCCAGGTAGCCCATCCCAGGGTCGTCCTCCCCAGGGGAGAAGGCTGCTCCTGCTGCTCCTGCCTGGGCCACCTCCCCATCCTCCACCCCCACCCACTCAGGCTCTGAGCTGCTTGAGTCCTCTAGGAAGGAGAAGGAATCCTGCACCTCCTGGGACAGGCAGTCCTCCAGGGCAGGGGCCATGTCCTCTGGGCCACTGTCAGCCAGGGGACCTGTGGCTGAACTTGCCTCCAATTTCTCATCTGTTGGAAGAAAGGAAGTGTCAGGAACACAAAGGTCAAGACCAGCCTTGACCCTTTCCAATGCAGATCTTCCTAACATTCCTGCCGTTTCAGGCCCAACCCTCCCAGCCTAGGTACTCCATGTGGCTGACCCTCTCAGATCAGTATCCCTGACTCCTGGCTTATAGCTGCCTTGCTGAGCTCCTACCAGGTGCCAGGCACCACACTGTACCTTTCACAACACCTTATCTAATTTCCCCCCTCGAAACAGCTCTATAATGTAGGGTGTTTATCCTTATTTTAAATATGAGGAAAATAAGACTCAGATTTGTCCAAGACCCCAGCTCTGCCACCTCCAACTGAAATGAACAACAAATAGCTTAACCTGGGTCCCCTGTCCCACTGCAACAACAACTGTGTCACAAGATTGGGAGAGAACGAGATAAGCTGATGCTTACAAAGTCCTAATCATGGCACCCAGCATATGGTAAGCCTTCAGTAAACGTTAGCTGTTAGTATTAATACCATTATTATTATAACATCATCTATTGTATATCTTCACCTTGTACTTAGTGATCCCTACTGTATGTATCTGACACAGACTCCCCTTCTTTGGTATATCAGTGACCTGAAGGATGCCAGAGATCCCCTCTCCATGAACCACAGAACCTGGTGATATGACCGGATCCCTCCAACCCGGCATCCGGGGAGGCAGCTGAAGGTGACCATCCAAAGCCCGGGGCCCAAGGCCTCTGCCATCCCCAGGACAGATCCCTGGCACCAGAGCTTCAGCTTAGGGTTCTAGCCCCATCTCACAGTTCTGGGAGATCCCTGAGTCCTCACCTGGGGGGCCAGGGCCAGGCCCAGGGCCAGAGGCAGGGCTTGGCCGGGGCTGTAGGGCGGGGCACTCAAGGCCACGGGTGAGTCTGGCCAAGGAGACGTTAGAGATGATATTTGGGGGCACGTTGAGGATGGAGGTGATGTGTAGTGGGAGGTTGACGTTGTAGGGGTCTGAGATGTGCACCCCAACACAGCGCTCTGCACGGCTACAGCCCCCAGCACGGATTGCTGACCGTCCCGCTCGTGGCGTGCCTGGCTCAGAATTCGTGCCACCCAGGGCCTCTGCCTCGGGCTCCTGTTCACCTTCTGCTGCCTCTGCAGAATCATTCTCCAAGCTATCCGGTAGCAGTGGGCTTGGCCGGGGACTGCCAGGTCCCACCAGCACCTCTGGCTCTGCAGAGGAGAGAGAAGAGAGCAGTAACCTCAGCCGCGAGCGGCCCGGACACCTCGGGAAGGCTCTGGAGAATGTCCCCTGCTTTCTCAGGCCTGAGAGCCAGGACAGTTGGAAGGCACCCCGCCGAGCTTCCCTGGGCCACTCCTGCGAATGTTCCACAGCCACCTCGGCGCCTACACTTACTCAGGAAGTGAGTGAAGATACACTCACTTCCCTCCATGAAGATACACTCACTGGCCATCAGTGCCCCCTACCTCCACAAACACACACCACCCTGGACCTCTCTGTACACTCAGAGGCACACACCCACTGATCAGATGATAAACTCACTACTAACCCTAGCATCTGGGACTCTGGCTGGTACGTAACAGGAGCTCATTATGTATTTTTGCAAATAGTGAGCACATATGGCCACGTGCACAGACACACAAGCACACAGGAATGCACACGCAGTGGGCTCATCCGTAATACTATTACTCCTTGGCCGACACAGTCTCAGACAGGCTTGCACATGGGTGTTCACCTGCCTACACCTGCACATATGTATACACACACACACACACACACACACACAGCAAGGGCACACCTAGACTCACCATCGCCGGTCCCAGCTGCAGCACTCAGCGAGTCCATGCTCTTGGCTGGCCGCAGAGTCGCCTTATCGGATTTGTCCTCTGCAAGACACAGATGTTTGTAGAGCTGGAGCCTCGTACACCTTCAGCAGAGCTCCCCCTACCTCTCTCCAGACTCACCTCTGTCCTCAGCCCCCCGGGGGAGTTTACGTTTGGTCTCATGGCCAGAGCGACCCAAATTGAAGATAGATCTCCACTTCCTGACCTTCAAAGATCCCTTTCTCCTGGAGGGAATAGAGAGAACATTAGGGTTGGGCCTGGTGGTCAGTGCAGGAGGGGGGCCCAGGAAGGGGGCCTTACTTGTGCTCTGCAAGCTCAATGATAGTGTGGTAGGGCCGCATCTGTGGGGGTCCATCGCCAGCCTGCAGGATGCTAGGCAGGTGGCAGGGCAGGGACCTGGGCATAAGGTCATCGGGGTTGCCTGATGCCCGGGCCCCTGGAAGTGATCGCCATCCACTCTCCATCTCCCCACCTAGGAGAGGAAAAAGAATTGGCCGGGCAAGAACAGAGGTGAGAGAGGGCTTCAGGTATCCAGCTCCTCACAGCCCCCTCCCGCTCACCAACTAACTAGCTGGTTGGGGATATACTCGGAAGCCTTTGGAGGCAGATGCTCCATGTCTAGCTCCTCAAGAGGGAATCCTCAGCGGGAGGGTTGCAGGGGGGGAAGGGGGGGCGCCTCGGTGGTCAGTCAGTTCAGCATCTGCTTTCGGCTTGGGTCATGATCTCCGGGTTCTGGGATTGAGTCCCACATCAGGCTCTCTGCTCAGCGGGGAGCCTGCTTCTACCTCTCCCCCTGCTTGTGCTCTCTCTGTCTCTGTCTCTGTCTCTCTCTCAACTGACTAAATTAAAAAAAAAAAAAAAAAAGAGGGAATCCTCAGGGACAAGGGGTAGGAGATCCCAGGACATTGGCCCTGTGGGTTAGGGGTGGGAACGATCAGTCAGTAGCCCCAAGAACCCAGATGGTGCTTAGAAGGTCAGGCTCAGCAGGAGGGGGCTGCTCAAGTACCGACCACACCATCATCTCCCCAGCATCTTCTCCACGGGACCATAAACAACATCCCTCTGTGACTCCGTTCTCTCATGTGCAGAACACGGAGACTGAACTAGGTGACCTCTAAGGCCCTCTGTCACCTTGACATGACTCCCCAGACAGAGTGTGGTGGCGTGGTGGGTGGCACACTGACCAGAGAGAGCGGCGCCCCCGAAGAGCTGGTCCACGTGTGTGAGGATGAACTCGACCACAATGGACTGCACACGCACCTCCATGAAGGCTGCTGTCCCGTTGAAGCCCGAGGCCTCTATGTCCTTGGACCTGTGGCAATATGGAGTTACTCCCCTGCAGTCCCGCCACACTTCCCCATCCCAATTCTCTCTCTCAAAATAGCCTACCCCTTCTCCCCTGCATGCCCATAACCTCCTCCCCACCTCTTCAACTACATGACGATTCAAGTCTCAGTGCCACTCCCTTCAGGAAGCCCTCTCGGACACCCCCCTCAGAATTAATCTCTACTTCTTTTGCACACAGGAGTGAGCTGTTATAATCGCTCTCAGGACTTCTCAGAGTTGGCCTGGCACACAGAGATATGCGGGCCAGTTCTCCAGGAGACTGTAAGATGTTTGCTCAACAAACATTCCACAAGGACTCTTCCTGTTCCAATCCCTGAGCTCAGTGATACAGTGTAAGAAGACACAAAGGCCTTGTGTCCAGTGGGTGAACCCCATCCCACTCGATGTACTTCGGAACCCTCCTGTTTCTCCCTGGGCTCCACGAGACCCCCGCAGCCCTCTCCAGTGCACCCGTGCAGCCACACCCATTCCTGGAGCCGCCTCTGGGGGCTCAGCCTGGATCCCACCCGCTGCTCCCGCGGTGCCCACCTCAGCAGGTTGGGGGCCCACACGATGGCCAGGTTGCGGGCGTGCATGTTGGTCTGAGCACTGAATGAGGCCATGTGCACCAGATGTCGCATGAGGAACTCCAGGGTCCTGCAAAAAGGAGGCATTGGGGCCAGGGGTCGGATGGAGGGATGGAGGGGTGGAGGTCAGGAGGCCGATGAGACAAGGGCCATATGGGGAGCCGGGGATCCACACGCACCTATAGTTGGGGACAGGGAGTTCTCGAAGCACTTCTAGGATCTTGACCAAGCGCTCAGGCTCCAGCTGCACTCCCACGGCATCCTGATTGGGAGGAAGGGTTCAAGAAATGAGGCATGGAGCCAGCACTGCCCCTGCCTACTCCTGGGAGCGCTAAGCCTGACTCCTGCAAACAATGCTGTGCTGTGCCCCGCCCCATCCCCCACCCCAGATCCTTCAGAGGACATGACATACCAGGCAGAGCTCAGAATTTGGGGCCCACAAGGCCTGCAGCTGGGTCTTGGCTATGCCACTCAATAGCTTGGTGACCTCGAGCACCTTCCTGCCAGTCTGCCTCAGCACCCTCGTCAGAAGGCTCCAGTTCAGTAGCAACCCCTCCCTGTGGGTGCTCCCAGGCTATGGGGTTATTCCAAGGTGCCCAGGAAGGCAAGCGCCCACCCAGGCCTGTGCGGGCTGAATGCGGTGGGCTGCTGTTCTGGATTTCTAAATGCTATTCTGTTTGGTAAAAATGCAACTTATTTTTAAAATGTTACTGAATTCAAGAGAGCATTTCTGTCACATGTCTTCTTACTCAAAAGAGGCTTGACATACAATCTGCTCCTGGAGGGGCAGGCCTGAAAAAGGGTTGGCTTCTGAGAAGGGCTCTCATTCTCTTAAACGTAAGGAAGCTCGGGTCTAGGTGATTTCCAAGGGCCCTCTGCTCTCGGCCTGGGGTCTGCCTTCCCCAAGTCCCACCCCTGCGCTGTGTGTGATCTGCAGGCTGATGGAGGAAGGGCCAAGGGAAGAGGGACGGGAGGGCGCAGGTAGCAGCCCTCCCTGCCCCCCTCCACAACCCATGGCGGGAATTTGCAGGGAGGGACCTCTTCGTTCTCATGTGGTCTCGGTCATCGAGCATCACAGGACCCTGTCTGCCACTGACGCACTCGGGAGGTCAAAGCCTCCCCAGCGGTTGCCCCTCCGCCTTGGATCCCACCCTGCCTCGCCTCTAAACTCACCGCGAACTTGTCGTAGAGGCGGTAAGTGAGCAGGGGGTCGGGCAGCTCCCTGAAATAGGCCTTGCACAGGGACGAGACGCAGTGAATGTCTTGCAGGTAAACATCTTTGCGCAGGTCTGGCTTCCGCTCTGCCTCGAACTCCTGCCTGGGGAGGTGGAGCGTGGTCAGGAGTGGTGGGGGCTGGCACAGCGGCCATGTGCACGGGCCCTGGAAGGAGGCTGTGGGGCATGTGTGTAAGTGAGGCAGTGGGTGTAGATGGATCGCACATGGGGTTGTGGGGGGGGGGACTAGGGACGTGGGCTGTGTGTGAACAGGGAGACATGTCAGGGATGGAACTGTGGGTGTTGCGTAGCAAGGTTGGGGTATGTAGGATTCAAGAAAAGCGGAGAGATGAGTGTACATGTGTTTCTGGGTACGAGTAAAGATGGAGGCGTGTAACTCTCAGAAGGAAAGGTTGAGTGTAAATCTTCATGACCTTGGAAGAGGCAACAGTTTCTTAGATAAGACACCAAAAGCACAAGCAGCCAAAGAAAAAGCAGATACATTGAACACCAAATGACAAGCTCCTGAGTGTCAGAGGACACGACCAAGAAAGCAAAGACAACCCACAGGATGGAAGAAAATCAGAGATTTGATAAGTGTTTAATATGCAGAATATATAGGGGCACCTGGGTGGCTCAGTTGTTAAGCATCTGCCCTTTGGCTCAGGTCATGATCCAGGGGTCCTGGGACAGAGGCCCTTGTCAGGCTCCCTGCTCAGCGGGAATCTGCTTCTCCCACTCCCTCTGCCCCACCCCCTGGCTTCGTTCTTTCTCTCTTGCTCACTCTTTCTCTCTCTCTCTCATAAATGAATAAAATCTTTTTTTTAAGTGTTTTTTATTTTTTTTTTAAAGATTGTATTATTTACTTAAGAGAGAGAGGTCACAAGCAGGCAGAGAGGCAGGCAGAGAGAGAGGAGGAAGCAGGCGCCCCGCTGAGCAGAGAGCCCGATGCAAGGCCCGATCGCAGGACCCTGAGATCATGACCTGAGCCGAAGGCAGAGGCTTTAACCCACTGAGCCATCCAGGTGCCCCAATGAATAAAATCTTTAAAAAAAAAATCCAGAATTTATAAAGAATTCTTACAACTCAAAGGAAACAAATAACCCAATTTAAAAATGAGCCAGGTGGGGCACTGGGGTGGCTCAGTCATTAAGCATCTGCCTTTGGCTCAGGTCATGATCCCAGGGTCCTGGGATTGAGCCCCACATGGGGCTCCTTGCTCAGTGGGAAGCCTGCTTCTCCCTCTCCCACCTCCCACCTCCCCTGCTTGTGTTCCCTCTCTCACTGTGCCTCTCTCTGTCAAGTAAATAAAATATTTTAAAAAATAAGTAAGTGAGCAAATAAATAAATAGAAAGTTCTCCAAAGAAGATATGAAATAAGTCATCCGTTCGCTACCGCAGAAGAGCCAAGAGGTGGAAACCATCCAAATATTCATCAACTGACGGACAGACAAACGAAATATGATTCCGTTACCCAAAGAGATGAAGGCCGACATCTGAGACAATCTGCACGAACCCTAAAAACAAGCTAAGGGAAAGAGCCAGACACAAAAGTTTCCAATTACACAATTCCATTTATCTGAAACGTTCAGAAAAGACACATTCATAGAGATAGAAAGCAGACTAGTGGTTTCGAGAGGCTGAGGGAAAGGAGAAACATGGAGTGACTGCTTTTGGGTGTTTCTTTTGGGGTTGAGGAAATGTTCTGGAATTCGATAGTGGTGATTGCGGTGTGACCTTGTCAATGTACTAAAAAAATCACTGAATTGCCCATTTTTAAAGAGTGAGTTTTATAGTATGTGAATTATAACCCCAAATGTTTAAGCTGGGTGGTTGTACGGGGGAGCGGAGACATACGTGTCTGTAGACACATGCATGCCAGCCTGGGGGAAAATGGGGTGTATGGTTTCAGCCTTTCCTGAGGAGTCTGGAGCTCCTCCCTTAGACAGCACCCAGCACCCACGTTTCCTTCTACCCGCTGCCCTCGCCCCTCTGGCTCCCTGGCCTCCTGGCCCATAGAGCTCTCCCCTCATTGCCTGACTCACCGGAGCTTCTGGATGTTGGAAGACACCCCCGAGAGGCGGTAGATGCCGTCCACCACTCCGTACTCCTCCACAAACTCCGCACAGCTCTTCAGCACCTGTGGCACTGGGGACACAGATGGAGCAGAGAGAGAGAAATCAGGTCTGGGAGGTCAGACACCACAGGGGACCTGAGAGATGGAAACATAGGGAAGGGGTTCGAGGAGACTGGAAGCAGAGCTCAGGAATTAAAACCTGTCAGACGGATTCTTAGAGGACATCAGCTCTCGCCTGCACATCTCTCTGAGATCTCTCTGCCCAGGGAGTCTAGAGCCTCTGCCTAAATGCCCCCAAGGGATGGGAAGCCCCCTGGCTCTCCAGATTGCCCATTCCCATTAGAAAGCTCAGCCTTGGGACGCCTGGGTGGCTCAGTTGGTTAAGCAGCTGCCTTCAGCTCAGGTCATGATCCCAGCGTCCTGGGATCGAGTCCCGCATCGGGCTCCTTGCTCAGCAGGGAGCCTGCTTCTCCCTCTGCCTCTGCCTGCCGTCCTGTCTGCGTGTGCTCGCTCTCTCTCCCTCTCTCTCTCTCTCTGACAAATAAATAAATAAAATCTTTAAAAAAAAAAAAAAAAAGAAAGAAAGCTCAGCCTTCATGGAACTGAAATTTGTTGCTCTGTAATTACTACTTGGTTTCCAGAATTTTCCAAGAGGCAGCCGTCTGGTTGGAAGGGCGCTTGGAGTAACAGGACAGGTCTCGAAAGTACACTTATGAAACACTCTGTGTATAAGATGAAGGAACATTCGTTGTCCTGACCCAAAAGGGGCAGAGCTGACGGGGACTATCGTGAAGCCCCCCGTCTTAGAAGCAAGCGTGTGGGCATCGGGTCTGTCACAGGAAGGTACACAAAATTGGGACAGATCAGGTCAGGAGAGAAACACCTGTGTGCCAAGTACTGGCTTTAGATATTCTAGTCCCCATTTTCCAGATAAGAAAACTGAGAGTCAAAGAAGTAACAAGTGCCCAGTACCACCCAGCTAGGGCCAGCATCCAAATCCAAGCGCGCAAAAAGTTGTATTCTCGGGGCGCCTGGGTGGCTCAGTGGGTTAAGCCACTGCCTTCGGCTCAGGTCATGATCTCAGGGTCCTGGGATCGAGTCCCGCATTGGGCTCTCTGCTCAGCAGGGAGCCTGCTTCCCTCTCTCTCTCTGCCTGCCTCTCTACTTGTGATCTCTCTCTGTCAAATAAATAAATAAAATCTTAAAAAAAAAAAAAGTTGTATTCTCTCTCCCGACCTGGGCCCCCTCTGCTGTTACTAGACTGTAAGCTCCTTAAGGACATGATCTAATTGTGACTTTTTTTTTTTTTTTGGTCCCCTTTCTGAGTAACCAATCTGATGTCTCCTGTTTTCTGACATGGTGTCTCAGACACAGGAAACTCTAACCCAGGGGTGAGATCCCATCTTCACGAGGCCACATGTTTCTCCTTCTGAAGCCTTCCCTGCCTTAAATCCTTGCTTCACCCCAGTCTTCACTGCTTACCTCACGGGTCTAGAATGAAGTATAAACTCAGCGCAGTATGTTTAAACCCTTCACCAACCAGACCCCGCTGCTGTCCCAGTCTGAGAGCCAGTCACGCCTCTGACAAACCCTCCCATCCATGAGAATGGGAAAACCAGAGAAAACCCTCTCATGCGTCAGTGTCAGAGCTGTTTCTCCTCAGCCATCTATTTTTTTTTTTTTTTTCCTGCTGGGTTTTCTGAGTCTTACTCCTGACGATGTTTACCTCTTTACTTGAATCAGTAGGAAGCTCAGAGCCGTATCCAGAAACCATGCAGCATCACGTGATATGCATTTCCGGATACCGATCTCACCTCCTCCTCTTGTTTCTCCTTCAACCCAATTCCTTCAGTCATTTTATTCTACCCTTTCATAAAATTTTGGGATTTGGATCACAACTTTACCACAGTTTTGTGTACCTCCCTGTGACAGAGCTGAATTCCATGCACTTGCTAACACCCACACTTCCAGCTCAAGTTCTTGCTGGAATTGAGTAATTAAGTAAGATGGAAATAGAGAATGAAGGAAGTAATCCATGAGCCCATCAACCATGATTGTAAACCCTCCTTGTATGAGCCGGTGTCCACACCCTTTGTCCTCTTGCACCCCAGAGCCAGGAACTTGGGTGAGACAAGGAAGGCATGAGGGTGGAGAATTTAAGGAGGCACTCAATTCTAGGGCTGTGCAGGTGGCAACTGCGCACACACACAACCTTGGGAGTGAGAGCATCCTTAAGAAAGAGCTGCGGGTCTCTAAATCCCGGTCCCATTCATCTCAGGGTTGTGAGTTCAAGCCCCATACTGGGGGTAAAGATTACAAAAAATAGTGGCACCTGGGTGGCTCGGTCATTAAGCATCTGCCTTCAGCTCAGGTCATGATCCCAGGATCCTGGGATGGAGCCCCACATTGGACTCCCTGCTCCACGGGAAGCCTGCTTCTCCCTCTTCCCCTCCCCCTGCTTGTGCTCCCTCTCTTGCTGTGTCTCTCTCTGTCAAATAAATAAATAAAATCTTTAAAAAAAAAAGATTACTAAAATAAATAAACTTAGAAAGGAAAGAAAGAAAGGGAAGGAAGGAAGGAAAAAGAAAGAAAGAAAAGGAAGAAAGAGAGGAAAGAAAGAAAAGGAAGAAAAAAAGGAAGGAAATAAAGGAAAGGGGGAAAGAAACATAGGAAATGAAAGGAAGAAGAAAGAAAAGAAAGAAAGAAAGAAAGAAAGAAAGAAAGAAAGAAAGAAAGAAAGAAACAGGGAGCCTGCTTCCCTCTCTCTCTCTGCCTGCCTCTCTACTTGTGATCTCTCTCTGTCAAATAAATAAATAAAATCTTAAAAAAAAAAAAAGTTGTATTCTCTCTCCCGACCTGGGCCCCCTCTGCTGTTACTAGACTGTAAGCTCCTTAAGGACATGATCTAATTGTGACTTTTTTTTTTTTTTTGGTCCCCTTTCTGAGTAACCAATCTGATGTCTCCTGTTTTCTGACATGGTGTCTCAGACACAGGAAACTCTAACCCAGGGGTGAGATCCCATCTTCACGAGGCCACATGTTTCTCCTTCTGAAGCCTTCCCTGCCTTAAATCCTTGCTTCACCCCAGTCTTCACTGCTTACCTCACGGGTCTAGAATGAAGTATAAACTCAGCGCAGTATGTTTAAACCCTTCACCAACCAGACCCCGCTGCTGTCCCAGTCTGAGAGCCAGTCACGCCTCTGACAAACCCTCCCATCCATGAGAATGGGAAAACCAGAGAAAACCCTCTCATGCGTCAGTGTCAGAGCTGTTTCTCCTCAGCCATCTATTTTTTTTTTTTTTTTCCTGCTGGGTTTTCTGAGTCTTACTCCTGACGATGTTTACCTCTTTACTTGAATCAGTAGGAAGCTCAGAGCCGTATCCAGAAACCATGCAGCATCACGTGATATGCATTTCCGGATACCGATCTCACCTCCTCCTCTTGTTTCTCCTTCAACCCAATTCCTTCAGTCATTTTATTCTACCCTTTCATAAAATTTTGGGATTTGGATCACAACTTTACCACAGTTTTGTGTACCTCCCTGTGACAGAGCTGAATTCCATGCACTTGCTAACACCCACACTTCCAGCTCAAGTTCTTGCTGGAATTGAGTAATTAAGTAAGATGGAAATAGAGAATGAAGGAAGTAATCCATGAGCCCATCAACCATGATTGTAAACCCTCCTTGTATGAGCCGGTGTCCACACCCTTTGTCCTCTTGCACCCCAGAGCCAGGAACTTGGGTGAGACAAGGAAGGCATGAGGGTGGAGAATTTAAGGAGGCACTCAATTCTAGGGCTGTGCAGGTGGCAACTGCGCACACACACAACCTTGGGAGTGAGAGCATCCTTAAGAAAGAGCTGCGGGTCTCTAAATCCCGGTCCCATTCATCTCAGGGTTGTGAGTTCAAGCCCCATACTGGGGGTAAAGATTACAAAAAATAGTGGCACCTGGGTGGCTCGGTCATTAAGCATCTGCCTTCAGCTCAGGTCATGATCCCAGGATCCTGGGATGGAGCCCCACATTGGACTCCCTGCTCCACGGGAAGCCTGCTTCTCCCTCTTCCCCTCCCCCTGCTTGTGCTCCCTCTCTTGCTGTGTCTCTCTCTGTCAAATAAATAAATAAAATCTTTAAAAAAAAAAGATTACTAAAATAAATAAACTTAGAAAGGAAAGAAAGAAAGGGAAGGAAGGAAGGAAAAAGAAAGAAAGAAAAGGAAGAAAGAGAGGAAAGAAAGAAAAGGAAGAAAAAAAGGAAGGAAATAAAGGAAAGGGGGAAAGAAACATAGGAAATGAAAGGAAGAAGAAAGAAAAGAAAGAAAGAAAGAAAGAAAGAAAGAAAGAAAGAAAGAAAGAAAGAAAGGAAAGAAAAAAAAGGCACCCAGGCACTGGTGCAGCCCTAAGAGTGAGGGCTTTGTTAAATTTTGTGCCCTGTTCCTTTCTCTTGTCCTCAGTCTTCGCGCTATAGTTCACTCCTCATCCCTCCTTCCGGGACCTGGGCCCATTTGCCGGCCTCACCCCACCCCCAGGTCCCCAACCCTGAATGCAGAAACAGGGTGGACCCTTCTCCCTTGGCTGCTGCTTGACACTCAGGTTCCTAATGGCATCCCAGCTCTTTCGACCACCACGTCGCTCTGTTGACGCATAGCCCAGTATCACCTAAAGCCTGGGCTCTCTCCACAGGACGGCAACCAAGCCAGATCTTCCCCCCTCATGCCCTTCTCTGTGGATTTTGGATCTCCTGAAAAGACCCTTAAAGGGGCACCTGTGTGGCTCAGTAGGCTAAGCATCTCCTGCCTTTGGCACCAGCCTTGATCTCAGGGTCCTGAGATGGAGCCTGATGTCTGGCTCCGTGCTGGGTGTGGAGCCTCTTAACGGTCTCTCTCTCTCCCTCTCCCTCTCCTTCTGCCCCTCCCCCCACCTCTCTAAACCAAAAAAAGAAAAGAAAAAGAAGGCATTTAAGAACCTAAGGAATCAGAGCCACAGAGGAAAGGGTCTAGGATGAGAGGAGAGACAGGAGGACGAAAGGAAGACAGGGTGAGGTGATGGGGTCAAGGAATGGAGACATCAGGGAATGCAGCCCGGGAAGAGGGCCCGGAATTTAGAGACCGGCAGAATCCGAAACCTGAACAAGGCAGCCAAGAGAGAGAGTTTGGGAAAAGGAAGAACTCAGAACAGGTAGGGCTTGGAGAAGGAAGTGACCCACCTTCCTAGGGCCGGGAGCAGGGAGAGGGCACTGAGACCAAGCAGATGAGCGTGGGAAAAATTAAGCTAATCAGGGAGGATAAATTAAGCAGGAACACAGATCTCCACAGTGTGGCCTTGATTCTGTGCGGAGTCTTGGGTTAAAGGGAACAGCCGTAGCCGGGCTCGCTCTGGCTCTGTCCTCTCACTTCCCACCTGTCTGTGCTGGGGGAAGGGGGATGGGGAGAGGCTGTCCCTATTGCATAGGGTGCTGGACATCCTGACACCCTTGAGCTCAGGTAAGGTTCTGAGGAGGGGCAGGACGGGCTTCTCTCCTCCTCTAGAATTCTCCAGGACCAGACGTCTAAGCCTTCCAGAGAACGGGCCCCTCGGCGGCCGGGAATGCAGACAGAGGCCGGAGGGGATACTGGATCCGGGGTGGGGGTGGGGGTCTGCATTTCAGCACTGGGCTGCCAGGGGCCACAGGGCAGTGCAGCACAGGGATGAAGAGACCGAACTGAGAGTTTGCAGAAAGCTGGAAGAACGTCAGCCCCATTGAATCCTGTGGCCCTTGGCCAAGAGTCCTGGTTCTCAAGAGGAGTCCATGAGCCGGGCTCTGCAGGAGGGGAAGAAAAAGGCAGAGCAGGGCCTCCACGGCTGAAGCTGTGTAACCTTCTACTCTGGGGCCCGGGGTTTCCCTTAACCGGGCCGGTGGGGATGGGGGCCTCTGGGGGAGGAGAAAAGGGGAAGGAGGTGTTTGGGGACAAGGGGGCGGGGCTAAGGGCAGGAAATGAGCTAGGAACCACCATCACCTTCCCTCCCCGACAGGAGCCACAGCCCAGAGCAGCAGAGAGGACAAAGAGGAAATGACAGATTGGGGTGGGGTGGGATGGGGTGGGGGACGTGCCCTGTTCTGGGAGGAGCTCCAAGTGCCAAAAACAAGGTGGACTGGGCAGCCAGGGTCCCTGCGGTCAACTTCAAATCAAATCCAGCTACGTTAAGGAGGGGCTGCTCCATGCCAGACTGAGCCCAGGGCTGCCCCTGCACCTGCTGGCTTCCGAGCCCCTCTAGGGAACCCAGGGAAACAGTAGACAGGCCCCAAAGACAGCCCCACACTCATTCCTTTGCACCCTGTACCTCTACTCTCCGACCAGCCTTAGGGAATCTCTCTTATCCTACTAGCGTCCCCCCATTTCAGCAGCTTCTCCCCCCCACCCTGCTTTGAACCTGTCCCTCCTGTGCCCAGGGAGGGCCATGGAGACTGTGGGAGGTCCCAGCCCACGCCCTCACTGGCAGCCCAGCAAGGCTGCATGAGGGTCTGAGCGCTGGAGCCCCACAACCACGTTCCTGGACGCCCTCCTCCGACCAGGAAACCCCCGTCCTCCCCAGCGCCACCGTCAGACTCTCCTAAGAGCCCTTCTCCCGGCTCCTTCCATTCAGTCCCAAGGATCCTCCATTGGCCTTTCCATCACTCCTCTGCTGACCACGTCGTCCCCCCAGCCTCCTGCTCTGTCCCCCGTCGTGATGCCGTCACCTCTCTTTTGCCTGCTTCTCTTCTGTTTCTCATCTCTCCATCCTCTCCCCGCCCCCCAGCCTCCCCATCCCCAGGTAGTTACACAAGGGGGCTCCCCGGCCTTCTCCGCTCAGCCACGTTTCCTACAGCACCTGCTCCTCAGGCTCCTGGGTGCTGACCCCACACCACTGCCCCGAGCACCTGGGTGCTGCCTCTGCCCCTCGCTCCGTGCCACCCACCCCGCAGCTGCCCTGAGCCGCCTCCTTACCCTCCTGGCCCGAACGCTGCAGCTGCTCCTGCAAGTCACAACCGAACACCCTCTCCTTCGAGCTGCTCTTCTTCTTTCCCTTTTGCCGAGACTTCATGGCTGGAGCCCCCCGGGGCCCTGGCCCAGCCCCCTCTGCCCCCCCAAGACCTTTGCCCTACCAGTCCCCCATAGGATCCTAAGCCAGCCTCTGGGCTTGGCCCGGCCCCAGGGGGCAGGGCTCCAAACTGGGGAGGGTGGAGGGTGGCCTGGGCAACAGGCAGCGGCTCCTGCCTCTGCCTCTGGGGCCCCTGGCTACACGGAAGTAGCTGTGGAAGAGGAAGCTGCCAGGACCCTGAAGAAGCTGGGTCTCGTGGCCCAAGGCTGGCACTCGCCCCTCTGGCCCTGCTCAGCCCTGGGGGAGCAGGAAGCTGTGCAGCTCCTCAACCCGCTTCCTGTTAGAGCATCTTTGCAACCACAGGGCCTGGGGTGGGGGAGGCAGCTGACATTCACATCCTCAACCCATCACTGGGACTTCGCTCATTGGTCAAGGCCACGTGACGTCAGAGCCCCGGGGTGGGGTGGTGGCGCCTGGGGCGTAGGCAGGTGACTGACACCCTTAGAGACTAGAATTTGGGGGGTCGGGGCAAAGCCCAGAGGCTGGCCCAAGAGCCAGGTGGCCCAGTGCCCTGCAAGGGGAGGGAGAATGCCAGGCTCAGCACCAGATGGGCCCGTGACCTCAGCCAAGACACATTACCTTGCTGAGCCTCAGTGTCCACACGTGTGACCACGAAGAGGGTAAACTGGGTAACCTTTAATCCTTCCAGCTCTTTCTGTGGAACTCACTTAAGTGTTAGCCTCTTTGTCTGTAAAGAATGGAATCTCCTGCCCGCCTCCTAGGCTTGTTTTGGGGAGACTCCAATGAGACCCAGGAGTGACAGCACCACCCACGGGGGCGCTGGCTGTGCGGGAAGGGGCTTTTCACTCTATCCACCTACCCGGGAACTCTCAGAGGTGGCCCAGGGCATCTCTTTCCCCTTTGCCTCCCAGCCACTAGCGTCCCAGCTCCTCCCCTACGTGGGGCCACGGGAAGGCTGGTGCTGAAGGGGGCTGAGTGGTTCAGGGCTCACATAGCCCAGAGGTGAGAGACGAACCAGGCACAACAGCTTTTATCTGTTTATTTAAAAACAGAATATCATTTTATGTACAAATATGCACATATTTACACAAAATGTACAGACTAAGACCCCAGATCTTTGGGCTCCGCATTCAAATTCCTGGGCTGGCTGGGGAGCAGGGGATGGCGTCTCTCTGTTGGTCCAGAAATCCGGAGGATTTCAGGCCAAGCAGGGTTTGGGCACAAAACCTGGGTGTTCTGGCTGAGCGTATTCAGGTGGGCCAGGTGACAATCCACAGTGTCCAACCCCAGTCCAGACCAGCAGAAACCGTGGGAAGAGCCCCAGGGGAGTGATCCCAAGGCTCCTGGGGGAAAGGAGACATTCTTGTCCCCAGCAGCTCCTTCACACCACCCTAACTCCCCCCTCCCTCAGGCTGTAATCACTACCCTATCTCCCTGACACCACAACCAAACCAGGAGCCCTTGTCCCCCAGTCTCCGCAACCCCCGCACCCCCACCCCGAGGGACCACAGACCACTGTGGATGCAGTGAGGAGGAGAGAGGTGGCTGGGGGAAGGGCCCAGGACCCTACCCTGTCCTCCTGCAGCCAGGGACCCAGGGGCTCATGCCCCGACTCAAGACTCCACAGCGCCAGGCTCCCGCCCAAGAGGCTGCCTCAATTCAAGTGTTTTCGAAGGAGCTCCTTTCCAAAGCCCAGGCATGGACCCCTTGCCAGGGTGTGAGCAAGGTCCAGGTTTGCTGACTTCCCATGGAGGCTGGCCTCGAGCTAAGCCAACCAAGTAATAACAAACATCCAGATAAATCAAAAGTTTTTTTGTTTTTGTTTTTAAAGATGTGTTTTCTCTTAGTAAAGTATTCGGAGCAGTATTCCTTGAAGAAACTCCCCCAACAGGCTTAGGTATAGAAAATATGCACATGCAGCAGGCCCAGACGCCACCAGAGGCCACCAGAGAACACTGGAGGGCCAAGGGCTTCTCCAGTAAGAGTGCTAGTCCCCGGCTGTCCCCTGGGCTGGCCACTTCAACATTTGCCCCTGGGCTCCCCAGTGGTGGGAGCCCGGCTCCCCAACTCAGGAGGCCAGAATCCAGTTCTAGCTCTGCCTGCACACCTGGGTCTGACCCACAGTCTCCACCTCTCCCCTCCAACCTCTGCGTCATTAATACTGCTCTGGGGTCTGAGGGGATAACCTGGGCTTCCAGGTAGAGGGCACACAGCCACGCCATACACAAGCCAAGCCCATCTTAGTTCACTTGGCCTGTAGCACGCACACTACGCACACGCACACGCACACGGTCTGTGAACACTCACACAATCATGTGTGCACACGTGCACACACGGGAGGGCGGGAAGGACTCGACCGGCAGAGCCCCACCCTTGCCGAACAGAAGGGTTGGAGGAAAATGTCGAGCAGTCAGTGGGACGGGGAGCAGCTTCCTCAAGAAACAAGGTGTGTAGGGAGGCCCCCATGATGAGTAGAAATTCCCCAGGTCAGCAGAAGGAGCCGGGTTCAGGGGAGGGAGGCAGGCCTGGGTCAGACCAGATGCCCCCGCCCATTGATGTAGATGCCATTGCCCGTGGGTTTGGCCCGCAGGGTCCCATTCTCTTGAACGAAATGGTTCATAGCGTGTTTGATGCCTTCATCCCGGTCTTCCTCCTCCTCGGCCCGCCCAGAGCCCGGAGACAGCAGTTCTGTCTGTGTTTCGATCTCCCTCACCGTGGTCAGTGTGGAGTAACTGCGGCCCTCTGGCTCTTCACTCTGGACACCGAGGGTGGAGGGCGCGTCAGGAACCCAGGCGGGGCCACCAGACGGGATTGGGGTGGGGCAGGGAGGGAGCCAAAGGGTCAGAGGTGAGGCGAAAGCTCCGGGGCTCGGAGCTGGGGCCCGGGAGCGAATGTCCGGCACGGGGAAGGACGGCGGGAGAACACAGGCACGGCAGATGTGCAGGGGCAGAGACACAGGGACTGGGGCGGGGCCACTGGCCCGCCACCTCCAGGAGCAGGAGAGGGGCCTGAGGAGAGCAGTGGGGACGCCGGTGGGGCCGGGGGCCTCACCATCACAGAGCAGCTACTGTTGTCCTTGAGACTATCAGGGTGGCCCTCGGCTCTCAGCCCTACACTCTCCTCCGGCTGTGGGTCCCGGACATGGGGGAGGAGTCAGAACAGGGCTCGCCGTCCTCCCTCATCACCTCTTCCCCCAACCCGACCTGTCCACTCTCCCTGACGCAGGCATCCGCCGCCAACCACTCAGCCTCACCCGGAACCGCTGTGGATGGTGGCTCTCAGCACAGCCCCCAGGCCCGGGGCAGCCGCGCCCCCAGCTCCCCCATGCCAGGCCCCGCTGCGAGTCAGGGGCCAGACCTGGTGGAGGGCTGTGCTCCTAGTGCGCAGAGGGACCCCCAGCCCCGGGGGGATGCACCCAACCCCGCACGCACCTGGCTCCTGGGGTCCGCGTGATGGGAATGCAGCCTCCGGATGGAGTTCTCCCTGGTCAGGGTCAACTCCTCCTCACTGGGAAAGACAGGCTCCCCTTAGCTGCTGAGGCTGGTCCTGGGCTCCCAATGTGGGCCCAGCTGTGGCCAAGCCTATGTGAGACGGCGCTGGAGAGGGCGGGTGCTGTGCTATCCCCATGTGTGAGTGAGTGGCTACAGGTGACAGGGTGTGTGTGTGTGTGTGTGTGTGCACGCGTGCGTTGGAGTGTATGTACTCGGTGATACCCGGGCATCTGGACTGGACCCTCACTCAGCAGTGCGGTTCTCCCCCTCCAGCTGTGGTCCAAACCCTTCCCACTTCCCGAAGCCCTTGGCCCACCTCCCGACCACAAGCTCCCAGTCTCCCCTCTCTCCCCTGGCCTGGCCCCCACCTCCCGCTCACCTGGTCTTTGCTCCCAGCTTAGCTCTACCCGCCGGGGATAGGCAGTACTCACTACTTCTGGGTCATCTGCTGAGCCTTGCGCCGATGGTACCGAGACATGAGCACCACCACGACGACCAGAAGGCAGAACAGGAGGGCGGCAATCACACCCACCACCACCACAGAGGCCGACACCAGGTCCACCTGCTTCCCGGGGGTGTCCTGAGGGTCTGCCAGGAACAGGCCTCTGTCTAAGGAGGATGCTCAGATCCCTGACACACCCGCAGCCCTCACAAACCCTGCAGCCTGGTCCTCACGGAACACATCTCAAACCACCGGCTCAGCCTGACCCTCTGCAAAGTAGTCCCGCAGCCCCCCCCCACCAATCAGCACTCCCACAGTTCACCCTCTCTGTCTCACTAGCTAGTGGCCCTCCGGGCCCTTGGCCCAGCACCCCGCCCCCCCGCTGTGTCTGCCCTGGGTGCTCACCAAGAACATCCACAGTGACCTGAGAGTCCCTGGAGGAGAGCTCATTGCTGACGTGGCAGACGTAGATACCACTGTGCTCCGTGGTCAGCGGAGGAAAGCCCAGCGTGTCCCCTTCCGCTCGGACCCCGCTAGGCAGGGGCCCGTCCAACCTGGAGGACAGGGAAGCTGGGGCGGGCGGAGGCTGCCACCACCCGACGTGCCTGGGCAGCTCTCCACCTCCCTCCCCCATGACGTCACCCAGAGCCGCTGGCTGTTCCCACGGTGCCCCTCCCTCCCCTGGGCAGGTCCAGGCAGAGGCCCCTTCTCCCCGCCGCCCAGCCTGACCCGGGCACCCCCCACACACACCCGGGGAAGATCCACACGCGAGCCATCCCACAGGCTCCCACAGGCCTTAAGTCATCCGGTGCCGGGCACCAGGCCGACGTGGTCTGAGGGCCACACGACAGGACACCCCTTTCCTATCTGGGCTCAGTCGTACTTGGAAAATGTGACCGCACGCCCCAGCACCCGGCGTCCCTAACGTCAGGACACTGGAGCGGAGCCCGAGGCACGAGGTCACGTGCATGGCTCAGCGTACAAGAGCGCACCCATCGAGGGCTCCCACGGGGGCGCCTGACCCCTCCCCGAGCCCCTGGACGGCTCCGATCCGATCCGGCGGAGGCGTCGGCCATTCTGGGGGGTCATGCTGTCGGTTTAAGAGCAGTCACGGCCGGCTCTAGCTTTTTGTCTTGCCCACTTTAGGCACTCACCTAAATACATAAAATGCTAATATTGAAGATAGTGTATTGTATGTCATAATTCTAAAGTTAGGGGGAAAAAAATCCCAAGGATTTACTGTCTTATTCCCTCCCAGTGACCACGTATGGTAGACTCCCTGGTAGGAGTCAATGATAATGTCCTTGTGACCACAGGTAATCGTGCACAGGTCTGGGCATGGGGCTCCGTTAATTTGGGGTTCAGGATAGATAGTCCCAGCCCATAAGGAGCACATGGCCGCCCAGTAAGACAGGGATTGTCCCACAGGGCTAGGCCCTTACCGTGTCCAGTTGTACGAGGGTGGGGGGTGCCCTTCGCTCAGGCACTTGAGGGTGGCTCCTTCTTTGCCAACCTGCCACAGCTTCTGGTCTTCAAGGCCCCTCACAGAGGCCTCAGCGAGGACTGGCATGGGAGGTGGGAGGAGAAAAAGCAGGGAATGAGGCTTTTGATCAGACCATCAAGCTGTTCCTCGAAGGGGCCGAACCTGGCCCGCCCATCCTGGCTGGGTCCTTGCAGCACGGCCCCTTCCCCTCTCCGAGCTCCGTGTCCATATTGATTCATCTGGGCAATGAGCCTCCAAGTCCCCCCGGAAAAGAGTCACACTTTTTCTGAATCCCTGTGGTTGCCCGCGGTGGGCGAGTCACAGAACAGGTGTTGCATAAACGCTCCCTGATTTTCCAAAGGCTCAATGATCCCGCTCACTCACATATCTCTTTAACGAACATTTGCTGAGGACCTACTTTGGGCCACATGCGGAGTTAGTACGAACAGAAACGAGTCCTCTGCCCGAAGAGGCTGAGACTCGAATGCCCGGAAAACCCTATCTGCCGCTCCCCGAGGACCACCTAAAGCTCTGTGTGTGTGAGGGCCTTGGCCTTCGTGGCTTCTGATTCTGATCAGAGCCCTGCCAAGTCCGTGTAATGACACTCCTGCCGCTGCTGGGGACAAGGCAGACAAACAAGACCGAGTAACAGCTGGTAGGTAGTGGAAGGAGGGCTTGTCCCACGAGCACGAGGGCCACGCGGTGTGGCCGGCAGCCCGCGGCAAGCCTGTCTGCACGTAGTTCAAAATGGGTTTTCAATCCAGTGTTTCTACCCAATTCTCCCCACAACCCTGCAGAGCAGGGCAATCTCCCTAGAAAATAAGGTCAGAAGCTCAGAGCGGTCTGAGTGATCCATCAAGGTCATCCGGGACGGGCTCATCTCCCTTTGCACCAATGCTCTCTCAGCCACACAAGGAGGCCTTCGGGATCCAGCCTGGCCAGGCTGCGGTGGCTCAGGGTCTCTCTTCCCAAGATCCATGTACTCACAGGCCACATGGAGGATGTGGGTGATCCTCTGGTCCTGGAGCAGGCCGGGGTGGGACACCACGCAGGTGAGCGGCTGCCCATTCATGCCGCGGCTGGGCACCAGGTGGAACTCTGACGTGACAGCAGCTGAGCGGGAGTGCTTGAACGAGCGGCTGGACGCGGTGCCCTTGACCTCCGTGTCCCAGGTCACGCTGGGGGCTGGGCTACCCTCCGCTGTGCAGGAGGCTGCTAGCGTCAGGCCCTGGCCCTCTTCTAGCGCGGGACCAGGGTTCAGAGAGGGCAGGGGAGGCACTGCGGGTGGTGGGAGGCAGGGATCACGGTCAGCACACCCACCAGGAGGCCCTGCCCCGTCCCAGCTGTGTCTTGCACAAGCAAACATTTTCTGGCCCTTTTTCTTCTCTTATTTCACCAACATAGACACCAGATGAGTGGTAGAATTTCAGCTGACTTTGTACCTTTCTCTATTATTTGATTTTTTTTTTATCATGAGCATGGATCATTTTTTAATAAACCAATGAAGTAAACAAAAAGCCAATCAGACAACATCTGTCCCCTAATAATCACAGCTACCACCTCCAAAGCACTCATTATGTGCCGGGTATTGTGCTGAACACTTTATAAATGTTATTTCATTTAATCCTGTCAACAGACCGGCAAAATAGGGATCATTACCCCTGAGTTACAAGAAAGGAAACTGAAGCTTGGGCAGGTGAAATCATTTGTCCCAGATCATCAGCTGTAAGGGGAGGAAGCCAAGATTCACACTCGGCATTTTCACCCCCAAGGCTAGTGTTACTAAGTTCCACGTGGGTAAGGGGAAACTAAAGGTCTTTATTTTATATCTTCCTAACATGTCCAGCTCAAGCTCAGAATGGAAAAGACTTAACTAGACCACAGGTCTGGGGCATCTGTGGACGACAAGTGCCCACAGTGCAGAGCAGTGGTTTAAAAGTGATTGTGATCTCCAACCCAACCACATTCACAGAAGGTCCAGACCGAGAAAAGTATCAGCCACGCTAGTCAAAGCTGAGTCTGCGTGTCCCTATCTCAGCCCCATGTTTTTTGATTTTTGCTGTTGTTGTTGTTGTTATTTAGGAGAAAGAGAGCACAAGCAGAGGGAGAAGCAGGCTCCCCCACTGAGCACGGAGCCCAATGCGGGACTTGATCCCAGGACTCTGGGATAGTGACCTGAGCCTAAGCAGACACTTAACCCTCTGAGCCACCCAGGCTCCCATCAGCCCCATGTTTTAAAACCACGGAACCCAGGATGGCAAGAGAGGCTGTGAATGAGTGGTTTTGGTGGAACTGTCGCAGAAACTAGCAAGTGTAGCTTCCAGAAGAGGAGACGGGAGGTGGGCTGGGGAGAGGAAAGACCTCTGAAAGGCTGGGGTGCAGAAGGCAGAATGAGCCTGGGCCACGTTGCTTCTGAAGGCCAGAGTGACCAAGGTGTGTGTGTGGGGGAGGGGGGTGCAGGTCAACAGAAGGAAGAATGTTCTAATAAATGGATTCTTCCCCAAGGCTGACAGAGCTGTAGGTAGCAAGCTGTTGAGGTCACTTGGAGAGAATTTCTAGATTGGGTGGGAGGACGGACTGGATGAGGCCTCCTCACTCCTGCAGGGCCCTCCCCCTCTTAGTCTTGCTCTCTCTCCGCCCCATGCAATTTTGCAGACCCCATCTCTGCGTCCCTGGGCTCCTGCCTTCGAAGGCGCGCGCCGCGCGGACCTGGGGCAACTGCACCCGCGGCACCCCCCAACCGCACGCGGCGCCCCCACTTACCCAGCACGCGGAGCCGCAGCCGCGCCTGGAAGCTGCCCGCGGGGAAGGTGCTGACGCGGCACTCGTATTCGCCCTCGTCGGCCTGCACCGCGTTGCGCAGGAGCACGGAGCCATCCAGGGGGCTCCGTGGGGGCGGCGGCTGCTCCACGCGGCCCTCGTAGGCCGCGCCCACGTGCAGCCCGTATTGGATATGCAGCAGCGCTAGCTCCCGGGGGCCCTCGCCCGCGTCCACCCGAGCCCAGGCCACCTGCCCCACCTGCTCGTCGGGGTCCCCTCGGTAGAAGCAGGGCAGCTTGGCGTCCTGGCCCAGCACCACGGTCACCAGGTCCGAGGTCTCCAGCTCGCCGGGCCGGCACCGGCCTGCAGGGGACGGACAGGAGCGGCCAAGATTAGGGGTGTCGCAGGAACCGGGGTGGGGGTGGGGGGTGAGGGTGGGGGCACACTTATGCATGATGACAGAGAAGGCCACCAGAACTCACTTTGTGCTTGCCAAGCACCTTCTGTCCATTACCTCATTAGATCCACAAAACCAGCCCAAGAGGTGGGCGTCATTATCACCATTTAACAGATGAGGAAACTGAGACCCAGAGACAGGAAGTGCTTGCCTAAGGCTACCGGGTCCCTGGCTGCAAGAGTCACACCCTCTTCCAGCCCAGGATTGTGTCCCGGGGAGTCGTGAGGTGGGAGGCTCTAGCTGAAAGAGAGTTCCCCAGCTTCTGCCCTCGGGGAGCTCATGGTCCTGTCCCAGAAATGGATTTTACTCAGAAAAGACAGGGGAAGCCAGGGACAAACTTTCACAGAAGGTTCCACCTACCAAGGGGGGGTGGGGCAGGGAAATGAATGTTTTCAGGAGGTGTGGCCAGGAGCCAAGGCAGGGGTCAAAAACAGCTGGCATCTACCATGGGGCATATAGTGTGGGAAGGGTCCAGCCCAAGAAGCCTTTCAGAACATTCTTTTCATGGCTTGAAGATGAGAGACCTGGATTCCCAGAGAGAAGAAGGTATTCTCTGTGGGAGGAATGGCACGAATCGAGGCTCAGAGACAGGAATGAGCAAGTCACAGAAGAACAGAGAGGCCCCAGGTCAGAGACCCAGAGAGATGAGGTCAGGGCAAACACACGGCGATGGGGTCAGGGCCGGGGCCAGGAGCAGAGGACCAGAGACAGGGACCAGCGAGGAAGTGTGCATCCACGAGGCACCCTGGCGTCGCTATCATGTCCCCTCATTTTCAAAGAAGGATCCCTTCCTTGCCCTCGTGTAACCTGAGATCTGTTCAGAAAGAAGAAATAGATTTGGGGACAAATACGGAAAGGTGGGACAGACTCAGGTCTAGTGCCCAGTGGTGTGTGGCAGGCTAGCTGTGGGATGGGACAGTCACTGGGGACCTGAGTCCTGTGGGAGGGCCTCATGCAGGAGTCGGGGAGGACCAGAATGGGGAGAGACCTGGAAAGGGATTCCGGGTACGGGGCTGAGGTGGGCAGACCTGAGGGCCGGAGAGGCTGGCTGGTTCAGGAAGCAGAGAGGGAAGGACACACCTCAGGCAGAGGGTGTGTGTTGAGCAGGAGTGGGACACGAGGTCAGGCCTTCCACACCAGGCAGAGGAGGTCCTGGGGAATCAGCACAGTGAGGGGCCAGGGGTGACGTGCCCTCCGACGGGAAAGCAGGGACTCTGAAGACCAGAGACACTAGGAACGTTCGTGCTGTGGGACGGGGGGCGGCGTGGGGGGCGCCCCTGGGAGACTGGGCAGGATTTGATCACTGACCAGAAGGAGAGATGAAAGACAAAAGACAAAGACAAGTTTGGTTTCTAGGTTGAGTGACTCAGGAGGGAGGCAGGGCCTGGGGCAGCTTGGGGTCAGGGAGAAATCCACGGGGAGCTGTGGAATAAAGCGTGGGAAGCACAGTGTAGGGGCAGAGTAGGGGCTCGGCCTGGGATGGCGAGAGCTCCTTGCCTTGGAACGGACGTCCCGCAACCCCAGCCCCTGCCTCTGGCCAGCACTGCACACGCCTGGCGCACACAGGGCCCCTCCTGGAAGGCCCTCCTCCCTCTCTGTCTGGTAGCTCTGCTCGTCCGGGCTGGGACTACTCATCCTTTAGGACTCTGCTTAGACATCACTTCCTCCAAGAGTCCTCCCTCCCCCACCCCCACCCCCACCCCCACCTCGGGCAGGGCGAGGTGCCCTCCCCTGTTCTGCCCTGGCACCCTGCTCTCGCCTCACCAGAGTCCTGCATCCCCCGGATGGCGTTCACTCTTTCCTTGTCTGCCAGTCCCACTGGACAGAGCTCCCCGAGACCTCACGGAGGGAAACCTGGTTTCTGATTTAGCGCTTGGTGGCACTTAATGGGTGCTCGATTCATTGTATCGTCTGAATGAATGAAGGAGAGAGAAAGAGAGAGAGGCAGAAGAAGGAAAAGGTAGAAGGAAGAGGAATGAGTCTTCAGCTGGGCTGGGCAGACAGGGAAGGGGTCGGCACGGCAACCAGGGCTGTGGGCTGGATAGGCTGGCTACCTGGGTCTGCGGCTAAGGGACCGCACAGAAGGAGAAAGGAGCCAGGAGGGGGGCGGGGGGCAGTTCTCCAGGGAGAAGGTGAAGCCCCATGAGAGTGGACCAGAGGGTTCCAGGGACTCAGAGCCCGGGCCAGGGGAAGGGGGTCCCATGGCCCTGCCAGCAGGGGCGGAGGAAGGATGCCGTTGGGAGGACCCGAACAGGACGGGACAGACCTGCAGGGCCAGATACCAGGGCCCTGACCTGCCTAAGCTGGTCTTGGTCCCACCCAGCCCAGCCTGGGGAGTCCAGCTAACTACCCGCACCCCTTCCAGACACCTCCTCCTGGCACTGGGGTGAGCCAGGCTGCCAAGGAAGGGCCGGAGGTGGGCTTGAGATAGGGGATCACCCCCAGCACAAGCTCCGCTTCAGATGCTGCTATCTGTGGGTGCAGGGATCCCAAAACCTGGTCCACTGGGCCGCTCTAACCTCCCTAAAGACTATTTCTGGGACAATGTCAGATGGCATATTCCCATCCCTATCCCTACCCTTGCCAACCATCTGCCCCTCTCCACAACTGATCAGCCAGGTTTTCCCCGACACATACCTTCTTTAGGGCATGAGAGGCATAAATGCCTGAGTCGTAATCCTCCCTGTCCCTCCCTATCCCTCCCTGTGAGTCCAGGATCCCCGCTCCCCAGTAATAAGTGGGAGCCCTGCAGGATGAGGTAGGAGGCAGACAGGGGAGTCCCTTCAGGACCTCTCCCACGGTCCCCCACTGTCCTAATCCACTGTTCAGCAGGAGCACACTCTCCTCCAGTTCACGCGCACACACACACACACACACACACACACATACACACACGTACACACACGTGTGCTCCGGCTACAAAGGAAGAAGAGGAGCTTGGGCTCTAGGATCCCTGCCTTGGCTGACTGGACCCAGAAGCCCAGACTTCCAGGCCAGGGCAGGCCAGGACTGCCTCCTCCTTCTCTCCCCCACCCAGTGCCCGCCCGGCGTCAGCATGATGATGTCACCAGAGCAAAGGAGACACACCGCCTGCCTGGTGAGGTCACCCTGCGGGCATGTGGTTGCCGGGCCGGGCCAAGCCCATGGACCCTTCTACTGCAGATCGTTTGCTGAGGCTGGTGGGCTGTGCTGGCTGGTCACTCCCCACTCTGACCGTCCCCACCTCTCCTCCCGGGAGCCCCGGGACGCTGGTCAGGAGCTGTGGTGATTCAGACGCTGCCGCACAGTGCCCAGCCGCAGCCGCCACCAGCCACCACCTTGCGCAAGGGAAGGAACAGGCCCAACTGGCCAGACGGGATCCCTGCCCTCAGCCTCCCCCACCCATGGCCGGGCCCCCACGGGCCTCTTTGTGGCCCTGCCCTCTGTGTACCCCGCCCGCTCCCAGACAAGCCCTCCATTCCTGGCCGGGGCTGGCTGCCGGCTCCCCTATACCAGGCCTGGGTCCCAACCTCCCTCTCTGGGTGAGGCCCCGCCTCTGATCTCCGGAGGGGACACTGAGGCAGGCAGCCACAGATGGCCGCGTCTTTGGGAAAGGAGGTCTCCTTGGGGCGGGGGGACTTTCTCCATCAGTATGCCGGCTGCTGCAGATGGGGCGGGGACATGCAGGGGTCCCGGAGGAGGGTGTGTGAGGAGGGCGGAGGGAGTCAGTGGGAGCCCCCACGTGTATGGCATCTTCAGGAGAGGGCCTGGCAGGTCTCAGTGCGGGGCTCACCAGGGAGGCCGGCTCCTTCCGCGAACTGGAGAGTGTTTCACACTCGTGTGTGCTCACAGCTCATCCTTAGGGAAGTGGAGGTGCTTGTCTGTGTGGGGAGAGGGGAGCCGTGGAGTGGCGAGTGCGGGCGAACGTACGCGCAGACACGACTCCGTGCACGAGCGTCTCACATGCCCGCGTGCACGGCGCGCGTCCCCGGCCCGCGGGGCTCTGAACACTGAGGAAATATTTTGATGTCGGGTTCTCCTGGCTCCGCATGTCTGTCTGTCCTAGCTGCCCTCCGTCAGGGGCGTATGGCTCTGTGCCTTCACCTCTGCATCTCAGCTGGAGTGTTGCCAGGCACCCCTCCCCACCTCACCCCAGACTTGAGGGCAGATTCATCTCAGGTGGAGGTAGGTACCCAGAGATGAGGTCACTGTCCCTCCAGGTGATGGGAAATTGCCATCCAGGACTCCCCAGCAGAGCAAAACAAAAGCTCACCCTACCCTTGCTCCTCAGGTTCCTACTAGAAGGACTCCCACCTTTCTCACCACTCCCCCCTCTCCCCAAGTGCCCCCCCCACCAGCCCCTGCGGGGGGGGGGGGGGACCCAGGGGGCCTCCCCCCCCCTGGGAATCTGTCAGGCCTCTGCTGCCGCTGCTCCTGCCACCACCAGAAAAACCAGCTCTAGCTCCAGGCCTGGGGTAAGGGCTGTCTGGTGTGGGTTTGGTGGGAAGGGGGGGATCGTGCCTAGGGCTAAGGGGAGGGGTCCAAGCTGTCCAGGGGCTCATTCTCCTTTGTTAACACTTGCTGCCCCTCACCCCACAGCAGGGCCTCTACCAGACAGAGCAGGAATCTGTGGGAGAGTCTGGGGTGAGACAGAGGACCCGGGAGGAGCCCCGAAGCCCCCATTTGGGACAGGTGGCGTCAACAACCTGGGAGCCCATTTTCTTCCCCCCTTCCCCCCACAACCTTGGCCTTGGCCGAGTGCTAAGGAACTCAGAAAACTAGGAGATTCTCCCTCCGCCTCATCTCAGTCCCTCACTTAGCCCCCATTGTCCTAAGCCCCCCAGCTTAGTGAGAGCTTCCCAACCCGGGCAAAGTGCCCACCCACAGATTAGTGTCTGGGGAGGGGGGCCACACCGATCCCAGGGGGGAGGCGAGAACAATGCGGGAGGACAGGCCTTGAGGCAGCCCGGCTCTGGCCCAGACACAGCTCCCAGCGCAGATAAGTCCCCTAAACCCCCCCGGAGCCAGAGTCTGAGCCCGGCTGAGTCACCACAACAGCCACACTGTGGGTGGGAGACCCAGAATTCAGCGTCTCTCAAACTCCTGAGATCCTAGCCATCCCCCACCCAGAAATCCTGCCACCCCCCCCAAAGTGGGGGCTAGCTCTGCCTCACCCCACATCATCCCTTAACCCAGCTCTCGGGACTCAACCAGTCTTAAAGGCAAGCAGGGAGGGGTTGTCCAGTGAACTTGGGGAAAAGCTCCTGAGACCAGAGGCTCCCAGTCCCGTGGAAGATGGATCCAGTCCGCCTCCTTCACAGGCCCCCAGTTCTAAACTTGACCTTCAACCTTTGCCTGAGATTCAGTGTCAGACACAGCTCCTCTCCTCCCTTCCCTCCTGACTCAGCTCCACACTCCACTCCCAGCCCTTCACTAGGCTAGGCTTTGGTCAGTCCCAGGGGAAGTTGTGGGGGCCAGAAAGTCCGGGCCTCCTCCCCTCACCAGGCCTGCTCCCCACGGTGGCCGTGCTCCTCAGCCTGCAGCGCTAGAGGGCCCCGACGCTGAGGTCTAGAAGCTGGGACCATGGGCTGGGGGCAAACTCCTCTGCCATCTCTGGAGCTGGGGACCCCTTAGCCCAGCCCCCCTGAAACACTAGGGTGGGACCAAGGTCACTGGGGCCACAGGGCTTCTGTGGGATTCTCCTAGTCTCCGCCACCTTGGGTGGGAAAGCTGGCCTCCCCTGCTGGCTTCCCTAGGTTTGGGTACCTCCTGCCTCCCTTGGCCTGCCCCCCTCTGTAAACAGGAGTAGAAAAGCAAGGATGCGGCCCCTCCCTTTCTAGGAAACTAACCTCGGGTAGAAAGCTGATCCTAATCCTCAGAGGGCAGGCCACAGAATTCAGGGAAGCCCTCACCCTCTGGTCCTACAGGACCCAGTTGGGCCCAGAAAAAGAGCTAGGAACAGGGATCTAGTGGAGGGGAGCCTATAGATTTGGGCCTGTAGATTTGGGCCCCTGGGCCCTGGGGCAGGAGATGGGGAAGGGAGAAGGGAGGGGACCTCACCCGGAAACTCATCCCATTAAGGAGAGACAAAGAGCTGTGGTGTCAGGCGCCTCCCTGTCAGGGGTGGGGCAGGGCCCTGAGGCTCAGAGCTCTAATGGCCAGGAGTTGGGGAGGGTGGGCACTGATTTGCAGCCGGGCAGGAGCAGGGGCAGAAGGTGGCGTCCAGGGTATAGGCCCCCTTGGTCCCCCCCACCCAAGAGATGGGCCAGGACCTTTCCCCTGCTGTCACGCGGCTGGACTGACCACTTCCTCCAGCACCCAGCACCGACCGCCCCCGCCCCCTGCCCCAGTCAGGGGCTGGACAGTCACAAAGCCATAGGCCTGCAGAGCTGGAAGGTCCATGGAGATCATCAGGTCCTACCTCCTGGTCTGCTGAAGTCCACACTCCCAGCTGCCCAAGGTCACCTAGCAAATTCATAGCAGAAATGGGGCCAGAATGCAAGACTCCTGACCTCCTGTCCAAGGCTTTTTCAGAAACAAAAACAGTCCTGCTTCCCCGGGGGTTACACAGAGAGGAGCCAGAATGGGGGTGGTGGTGGAGGGGGTCACCAGGCTGGGAACTGACCTCCAGGCTTCAGAGTACCCTCCAGCCCTGCACACGTCCTAGCAGCCCCAGTGGAGTGGTGGCTGGCTGGGCACCAGGTCCCGGGGATAAGCCTGGGGCCAGGGTGTCCCCATAGCTATAGCCCCCGCCCATCAGGCAGCGAGCAAGGTCAGGGTGATGCAAGGTCAGGGTGATGCCCTGACTACAGGACGTCTCCTTTCCCCTTCCCTGGGCTTCTCAGCAAGAACAGTTTTGTGTCCTGGAGAACAAAAGCGGGGACCACATCTGGTCCCTACTCTGTCTCCAGCAGCTAGCACCCTAGCTGTACCCAGCATTCACCCAGACATACAAGCCTTTAATGGGCAAGGGGCTGGGAGGCCAAGACACTCACCTTGGTCGTACTTCTAACACTGTTCATCTTTTTCTTTTCTTTTCTTTCTTTTTTTTTTTTTTTTTTTTTTTATGGGGGAGCGAGCAAGAGAGTGTGTGAGAAGTGGGTGGGGGAGGGAGAGAGGGAGGGGGAGAGAGAAAATCTTAAGCAGACTCCATGCCCAGTGTGAGCCCAGTGCAGAGCCCAACATGGGCCTCGATCTCGCGGCCCTGAAATCATGACCTAAGCTGAAATCAAGAGTCTGATGCTGAACCGACTGAGCCACCCGGGTGGCCCTAACATATAGTAATCTTAAGACGTCATTTGCCTACCTTTTTCTCTTAGGTAGTTTTCCCGTCTGCAAAACGAGGCAGTTCTAGCGGGGGCCTGTCCAGCCCCTTCCATGTCCTGAGACCCCATGACGCCATCATTCAGGGGCGGGTAGATCCCACAGGAGAGTGGCTGCCCATTTCCCTGGCCCCAGGGACCGGACCCCACCCTCTGGGCCTGAGCAGGTGAGGAGCGTTGTCTGGAAAATGGGAATTGAGACGGGCTGGGAGGCAGGGGTTGGAGCTCAGTATCCTGTGATTGGAGGCTGGCCAACGACCTGTCGCTCCCATTATAAGATCAGAGGAAGTGTGGCACCCACCCACCCACCCACCTGCACATCTGTGCCTCATTCTCCCCCCAGCTTCAGCGGGGGACAGAGACGGGAATCACTGCAGCGCACTGCTCAACAATGAGATTCCCTTGCAGCTGGGCCTGAGGCCATCTGGACAGGGCTCTGTCTTCCAAGGACAAAGATTCCTCATTTACTCATTAGCCTGGAAGCAGCCTAGGGAATCCCACTGTGGTCTCACTGTGCACACGCGGGCATAGACACACACAATCTCTCTCTCTCTCCGCCTCTCTGAAGATTATAAATTCCGGTAACTCATACGCATCAGGCAAGAGTAACAGAAGGCATCTAGTCAAGGAAATAAGGGGACAGGGAATAAACAAAAGGAGGCCACACCCCGTCTAGAAGGTTCCCTACCCTAGACCCCCCTTCATCCAAGTATCACGCCCACCTGACCACCCAGATGGTTAACAGTGTGCCCAGCGAGAGAGAGGGGCCAGAGTGGAGGAGCTTCCAGCTCCCCAGCTGTCTCCCAGCAGGTGCTCCGGTCTCAGAACTCTCGGACACCAGGGAGAGGGGAGAAGGAAACAGGAACGCCCTGTCTACTCTCTGGGCATCAGGCTTCCTACCTCTGATGATTCTAAACCGGCTCAGCCCTGAGTCAGCCCAGCACCAGTCAGCAGTTTTGGAGCCTGGGGGGCAGGCGAAGGAGCCTCCAGGAAGCCCTGGGGTGAGAGGGTCCCTACCTGCTCCCCCCACCCCACCCACCTGCCCGGGCCACCATGTCTTGTTTCTTAGGCGAGGCTGTGGCAGAGGTGATCGGGGACTCCAGACACAGCGACCTGGCCTGGGGCTGAAAGAGGGCACGAAGGGGAAGAGCGACCCCGGCTCTGCGGGGGGCCCTACTGGCAAGTGGGGGTGGGAGAGGCAGATCGGTTGGGCAGTCCAGAGTCAGAGGAAAGAGAATGTTTACGTGTACGCGCGTGTATGTGTGTGTGTGTGTGTGCGTGTGCGTGTGTAAGTGTGTACTGGCTTGGCCTCGGAAGCCAGGGTCCTGATGGCTCAGGCAAGTCCTACCTGTAAATGATGCCAGCAGCAGCAGCAGCAGCAGGGCCTCGGGCCCCCACATCTCGGCTCCCAGGGACAGGGGCATCGTTCAGAAGGCGGAGCTGCCCAGTGTTTCTGAAGTTCCACCGAGTTCTCCCTGGGAGCCGGCTCTAGAGCTGGAGAGGGCACCGACCGGGAGACAGGAGATCACGGCGTCTTCAGGCCTGAATACACCTGCCTGTCCCTCTGGGGTCCAGCCCTGCTGTGCCCACCCAGCTAGAGCTACCCCCCAAAGGCCGTGGTCGGGAGCTCGGAGCTCCCCTAGAGCTGCTTCCCACGCCGTGGCCAACAACGATGGCAGAAACCTGGGAACCTGCTCAGCAGGTCAGAACAGGTGCGTCTCCGGGGGTTGGGCCTGGCACGGAGACTCAGCAGCCACCGCCCCCACGGCCTGGGCTAGCTAATGGGCGCCAGTGAGGGAGGGAAGGAGGGAAGGACCTGGTGGGGAGGGAGGGGGGATCCCATCATCAGCTCCAGGCTTTACCTGGCAGCATGGAAGAGGCTGAGAAGGGAGAGGCAAGGTGCAGGGCGGGGGGTGGAGGGCTGGGAGGGGTAGAAGAAGGCCCAGGGTGGCTCAAAGAGGGAGGCACTAGGCCAGGAGGAACAGGGGCAAGGCCCTTGTGGGTGGAAAGGAACCCAAGCATCCCACACCCCGGCCAGCGTTGCTGCCTCCCCAGGACCTTGCCAAGTTCCCCAATCTCCTGGAGGGGTTCAGCCTTGATGCTGAGAATCGAAGACTGGAACTGAGAAGTCCAGTACTGGCCCCATAGACCTCATTCTCCAGATGAGAAAAGAGGCCCAGAGAGGGGACCAGGCTTGCTGGAGGACATACAGCTTCGATAGTAACACGGTTTTCTTGGACAGCTCTATCCCTGAGACAGAGATCTAGTTCAAAGATCCCGGAGAAGGAGCTTAGGTGATGCCCTCGATCCCACATTCTATAGCAGAAGCCAAAGGACTGACGGAGAAATTAGCCCCTGCCTCCTGGCCTCCCTAGCGGGACTCTCTCAGCTTCAGCACCTCCCCGTCACCCGGCCAGGAGTCCCAAAAGCGCATCAGCATAAGTCTTCATGGTTCATTTTACCCTTTTATTCCACGGTCATGTAATGAGAGCACATCTGGACTTTGTGAGGGTAATCTTCATTTCAAATACTCTGTCCTTGTATCCTTGTAAATATATGTACTCACACTCATAAGACCTCGAGCATCAGATGCCACCAGCAAGTCACACAAACCCCTCCTGGCCAGTCTGGGATAGCCAGGGGAAGGGAACCAGCTCTGAGCCCCCTGAAAACTGGGTGAAGGAGAGGGACAAGCTCATGGGCGGACTGGGGTTAAGAAAACCAGGTAAATACAGAGTGAAACATGAGAAAAGAAAATACAGGTTAAGTTTGGGAGCAGGACCCTTTTGCCTGGCCAGAGGCGGGAAGGACTCCAGAGCAATAAGGGAAGGTCATCTCCTGTAAGGGTCTCCCATACCCCACAGCCCACGCCCCCAACTCTGCCAAAATCAAATTCATCTTTCCAAGCGGACCTCAAGTGCCACATCATCCATGAAGCTTTCTCAGCTCCTCCCACCCAAAATGAATCTTTCTCCCTCTATTCTTCCCCAGTCTCTGCTAGTCCCTTTATTATAGCTTGTGTCCCCATAATTTGTGCACATCTTATCTCCTTTACTAAATGTAAGCTTTGGTTCACGAAGCATGGATTGGAGCCTGCTGCGTGCCAGGGACTCGGCAAATATGTGAAGCTTTAGGGACGGGACCAGAGCTGGGGTCTGTGAGCTGGTGGAACATTAGGCTTGTTTGATGACCTCATCTCTGTCACCCCTGCTAGGTCAGCCCGCAGCACTTAGTGGGCACTGAACACGTTTTTGTCGGAGGCATGAGTCGGTGAGTGGAGGGATGTCAGCATGGAAAGGGTGGTCCAGGAGGGTCAGTGAAGGGGAGATCCCGACTCTCCTGAACTCAGGCCGTCACCCAGACTCGCACCCCCACCTCTGGACCGTGACCCCCACTCCGGTCCAGATCCAGCTCCCGGCAGTGGCCATACTGGTGACCTCTTCTTCGAGGACTATTTCCAGCAGGTCAGGGGTGGCCTCGGGGGCCAGGCCAGATGCCCAAACTCCCCAGTTTCTCTCCGCCTCCACCTTGGCAAACCCCCTCCCCTCCTTAGGACGCAGGTCCCTGCCTGTGCCCGAGGAAGAGCCTCACCCCGATGCCGCTTTGAGATCCGCTGCGGCAGGGGTGGAGCAGGGCCAGGGGGGATGGGAGGGGGGAGCATCCTGTGTTATAATTATAATTATCACACCTTGGATCCTATCGCATGGTTTCAGAGGAGCTCCTTTCCTTCCCACGGATTCACCCCTCCTGGTCCAGGAAACCGGAGGAGAAACTGAGGCATGGGTGTGGGAGAGCAGTGAGGTCACAGGGTGGGCATCCCGCTCCTGTATCCCCCGCCACCCCTGCCTTCCCGTTCTCAGGATACCCCCACCCCTCCACAGTGCCACTGGCCAGGAAGTCTGCGAGCGCCTCCGTCACTCACCCCTGCTCTGGCCATATGGAGCACTGAGGGGAGGTGGGACTTGCCAAGGCCAGGATGTCCCCAGGGCAGTCAGGCCAGGCAGCTGCTCCTGGCCTTGGCTTGAGGTAGGAGTCTGGCCCCCGCTCACCCAGCGATCCCCAAGTCGCTCTTTGACCTGTGCCCTGGTGCATCTCACGAGAGTCGTGCTCTTGGGGGAATGGGTCCTCACACTTATGCCTGCCCTTCCCTCATCTGGGACGAGGCCTCGGGGAAGGCAGATTCCAGGGCTGGGGCTGGAAGAAAATCCTGGCTGGGGGAAACCTTCTAGACCAGTGCCTGATTTCCTGGGTTCTGTTCTTTCTTCCTTATTGAAACCCCATTCCCCTCGTGCTTCACAACCCACCCTCCTCCCACCCAAATTCTGGGCCCGACCAGTGGGAGTGATTCAAGCCCAGGCGGCTTCTTGAGCGTGTGTACCCATCTGGGTGGCAACACCGTGCCTGCCTGCCTCAGTTTACCCACAGACACTCAGTGGGCACCCCTTTGCGGCAAGCTCCAGGGAGGGGACAGGGACACCTCACCTGCAGTCCCTGCCCTCCAGGAGCCCTCAGGGAGAAGAGCTGGGAAACAAACTAAAGGACGCTGTACCCCGCCAACTTTGTTCTCTTCGTGTCTCTGTGCACCTGCCGTGTCCACACTTGGGCTGTTCCCGTGAGCACAACAGCCGACGTTCACAGTCTGTGTGTGTCCAGGCGTCTGGTTACAACTCATCTCTGTCCCCATGGCAGACTGCACACCTAAGCCAAACTGGTCGGAGGGGGTTGTGCTGAAATTTTTTGTTTGTGTCAATGGGACTTGGAGGTGAGTCAGGGAGGGACATGGATGGGTGGGGTGGGGAGAAGAGTGAGAGTGAAGGTCAGGCCAAGCGAGGGTGGGGAGGAGCTGGTCAAGGCGGGGTAAGGGCTGGGCTGGGGGTGGTCAAGTGGAAGGGTTGGGGTAGGAGTAAATCAGAGAGCTCCTTAATGAGTAACAGCCCTATTCCAGTGAGATCAGAGAAGAGTCAGAGGCTTGGGGGCGGAACAGGGGGAGACCCTCAGGCTTTGGGAGAGAGGAGAATAGATTATAAATCAGAATGTCCCCCCAGTGGGGACAAAAGGTCTGTGACCCATGTCTATCTAGCTTTGCTTCTCTGTGTCATAGGAAGCTGTCTCTGATCTGCTCATTGCCTCGGTCTCTACAGTTTGTAGAGAAAGGGTTTGGGCGTGCTGATGGACACTGTGGTGGAAGACTGCTGACATGGGAATTGATGCTGTCCCCCAGGACCAAAGCTGTTTCAAGCTTAAAGCTTGCTTCTCCTCCTTCCTAGGATGCCCCCCACATGCAGAGATCCCCACACAGAGAACAGGTTCTGGCAGCTTTTCCTCCGCTGGAAAACATGTTTGCCCCCTGGGGCTGGAGCATCACGGTGCCCATGTTAGGATGGTGGCATCCTGTTTTCCAAGAGATTTCATCTGAAGCTTCCGTCCGACACGTGCTGCGCTGTTCCTGTCTCCCCAGGCTGCAGGCTCCGTGACGCCTAGTCCCCGGCCCCATTCCTTCCCGGCAGCCACACTTCCTGGTTGCCTCCCAACTCCCTTGGAGCTCAGGGGGCTGGAGTTGCTTGTTCCTAAAGAGGTCTACAGCTGGAGTGACCCACCGGGGGACATGGCTCAGCAAAAGGCACATGTGGGCCCCGTTCCTTCTGAGATGGGGTGCAGAATCCCCTCCTCCCTGCTCTCACTCCACGGGCTCCCCAGGCACCTGCAAGTACATGACCATGAACTCAGGGATGGGGGCCTGCCTGGAGTAAGAGAGATGCTTTTATTCTTTGACCCTGGGTTTCTGGATGGCCTGGTACTTTTAGAAGGCTCCAGAAATAGGTCATGGCGGGTCTAGGACAAGAGAGGGAGCCCTCAGGGAAATCAGAGTCTTCCCAGTAGTGACAACAGCGGCAGGAGATACAGCAGCAAGGAGTAAGCGCAAAGTCAGGCAGGGTCTTGGGAGCCTGGTGAGAGAATGGCTTCTAATGAGGACGCCAAGCTGGGCCCCCCTGCACTCTCCCAGTCTCCACCCCAACCACAGAAGACGCCAGGATCCTCCCAGGAAGCCCACCTGCTGGGAAACATGGAGGCAGCCCCCAAGGGCCAGCCGGCTCGCAGAGCCCACACCGCCAGGGGCGCCTTCAGGAAGCTCCAGGACTTTGGCGCTTCTCCCGCTCATCCAAACCCTCATCCAAATGCTCAGCTCCGATGCAGTGGGTCTGCTGTCTCTGCCAACCAGACAGCCTGAGCCACTTCCTGGCCATCCACCTGCGCTCCTGTCACTCCCGACTCAGCCGCCCCCGGGGGAAGGCAAGCCTGCCCAGGTGCTACAATCCAGCCTCAACCTGGGACCAGGCAGTGCGGGTGGCAGGGCCTCTGCGGAGTCCAGGAGGCCCAGGGCTGTGGGGAGCCTGGAAGGGCTGGGAGCTTCTCCAAGAGTGGGAAAGGCCCTGAGGGCAAAGGCAAGCATTCCTGGAGGGGAGATCTGAGAGGAGAGGGGCCGAGGCTGAGAAGACAGGAGGGGGAGGGCAATACCAGTGGAATGGGGGAGGAACTAGGGACTCCCGTAATTTGAGGGCAGATTTTCTTTTGAAGTGTGTTGGCGGATCTTCCTTCTGCACGGCCCCGGAACGCCCGCCTGCCGGTCTCACGAACCCAAGGTCCGTCCTGCTCTCCCCTCCGAGACCCGGGCCCCCTCGCGCCTGCAGCCTGCTCAGAGGCCAGGACGCGGTGCCGCTGCAGAGGGATGGGGCCCAGGGGCCCTGGGAAGCAGGGACCCGTTCTCCTAGTCCCGAGACACCCCCAAGGCCTCACTCCCACTGCCCTTGGAGACTGGACCCCAACCCCGCCTGTTTGCAGCCCTGCAGACAGCGAGGTTGGGAGACGTCCAGGTCTGCGGCCGAAGCAGGGGCAGGCCTCTGACTCCCCCCACCCCGAGCAACCCCCCATACCCAAGAGGCACCACAGGCCTCACCTTGCAGACAGCCCTAGTCCTTGCCCTCCAGCATCACCCTGAAGCCTTTCTGAGACTATTTCACCTTCAATTCTAGAAGTGGCATTTAAAAAAAAAAAAAAAGAAGAAGGGCTAGGGAGCAAGAAACAGAGAGTTCCTTCCTGTGATAGTTTGCAAGATCCAGAGGCACTGGTCCATGAACTAGAAGGAAAGGGTAGAGGAGCAGAGACGGGTCTAACTCCCCCTGCCAGCCTGCTTCCCTCCTGGGCCTGGGCCTCCCTGCTCTAAGGTCTCTTGTGGGTCAGTCCTAAGCCCTGGAAAGGGCCCGTACGCTGTAGCTCACTCAGTCCTCGTCAGGAACCCAAACCCTAGGACTGTGCCCAGGGACAGTCCACAGTCTACAACACAGCCAAAGGGGAGACGCCTGGCCACTCCTGGAAGGTTCCAAAGCAAAGTCAGACAGTTGGCTCTGTTAAGCAGGACAGAGAGAGAGCGAGAGAGAGAGAGAGAGAGAAGGGCAGACTCAGAGAGAGAAACACAAAAGTAGAACTGGCAAGAGATAGATCTCAGGGCACAGAGATACAAGCAGACACCAAGAGAAAGAAAGGAGTGGGGGAGAAGGAGACAGACATGGAGGAACGATGAGGGTAATTCAAAGAGACAAAGAAGCTGAGACAAAGTCTGAAACAGAGCTAGGAAGACCTAAAGAGAAATTTCTGAATGCCTCCTTGCCCACTGCTGCCCCTTCCTCCTGCTTCCCTCTTCTGCGCTCAATTTCAACCACTCAACATGGACCCAGTGACATTTACCTACTCAGATTCGCCAAGTCCCTTAGCAATTCAAGTTTTTGCCCATTCTTAGCCCCCCTCCACCGTCCTCTAATCTCCTGATTGCCTCCCCCCTTTACCCCGTCTGCTCACCATCCCACCTTTCTCTCATACTCCTTCCTGCTCACATCTCAGTTCGGACGAGCCCTCAAGATCTGGCCTCTTGTCATCTCTTTTCCTAGCCGTCCCTCTCTCCTTCTGTTCATCCAAGTCCTTATTCTGGCTGAACCAAGAGCAAAGAGCCAGAATTAGGGCCAAGAAGGCATGGGACCAGGCAGTCCACTGGCCAGAATGAGCTGGGGAAAAACGTAGAAAGTCAGAGGACAAGGGAGGAAGGGGAGGTTGGGGGGACGACACAGGCAGAAGGGTTGGAGTCTGGAGAGCATCTCCCTGAACGGTGCTGAGAACCAGGGACGACGGCTCCAGGGTCAGAGCGAAGTTCAGGGAAGGAGAAAATGGAGTAAGAGTTCTGTGAAGGACTGAGGCGAGCAGGTAGTGATCTGGGGCTGGGACAGACGGCGGACATTGGGAAGCTGGGCTGCGGCCCCGCTCGCCAGAAACAGCCACCTGACACCTAACTCAGAGGACCCTGTCGGGACGGGGAGACTGTGAGGACGACCTGCCGCCAGCCCCTCTCCTGCACAGAGGCTGTCCCTGGATGTTATTAGGGGAAGCAGGGCCAGAAAAGGAGGGGCCCTTCTGTTCTCACACAGTCCCCTTTCAGGTCTCCCCTTCACTTTATCCGAGTGCCGCTTCCTTCCTGGAGCGCTGACAGAGCCATCGCGGACCGCTCCAGATGCTGCTCTGGGTGTAAAGTAGATGTCCGGCAAAGGCAGCCTGACTTTTCTTTTTTTGTCTTGTTCTTCCCTCTCTCACTTTCCCCTGGGCTCTTTTCTGCCTCCTCCAAGATACGGGCTTGACTCTGACCAACCGGAGGAGGCAGGGGAGGAGTGACGGGCAGCTCATGCCCTGGGTCTCTGTCATGGATAAAGGCCTCTAAGACACTAGATGGGACTGGGAGTGGGCGTGGAGGACAGCCAACGAGTGTGTGAGGTTCAGGCTCTATGTGCAAGCGAAGTGCGAACGGCTGAGGCCGCAGAGTCAGAGTGGAAGCCCGGAGGAGGAACAGCAGCAGTGAGGGAGAAGCTAGAAAGGCCCCTGGGGTGGGGAGTTCCCTGTTCTACCCAGTAGAGGCAGAAAATGAGTCTGTGCCCGGGCATCTGGCTGGCTCGGTCAGTGGAGCAGTGACTCTTGATCTTGGGGTTGTGGGTTCGAGCCCCAGGTTAGGTATAGAGGTTACTTTAAAAAATAAAAGCTTTGAGGGGGAAAAAGGGAAGGAAATGAGCCTGGCAAAATGGGCATATAGGCCACAAAGGGCCACTCCCCAGGCAACTCGTTGCTTAAATCCTAGGAGCGTGACAGATTTCAGTCGGGCTATTAGGAAGCCGGCTGGCTCTCAGATTTCAGTCAGGGACATTATAAGTTGGGGGTCTGGGAGGCACCTGGGTGGCTTCAAGTCTGACTCCTGGTTTTGGCTCAGGTCATGATCGGAAGGTCACGAGAGGGAGGCCTGTGTCAGGCTCTGCCTCTGCCCTCAGTGCAGAGTCCGCTTCCGATCGCCTCTCCCCCTTGCCCTCTGCCCCTTGCCCGCTCGTGCTCTCTCTCTCACTCTCTCAAATAATAAATAAAACTTAAAAAAAAAAAAAAGTTGGTTATTTTTTTAGAGATTTTGTTACCATGATCTGGGAAAACTGAGGACCCTCTCTGTTAGACCCCGCAGACCCCGGGAAATCTGGAAATGAACGGGCAGCGATTTTCAAAGCTCTTGCGGGGTCTCGGCTTTAGGGACAGGTGGGAAACAGGTATTGTGACCTTCCGGTCTCTGTCCCTTCCTGCCCATACTCTGTCCATGCTGTTTTCTCTGAGGGCCAGAAGCTAGGGTCAGAGGCCTGTGCCATCAGACCCCTGAATTCCATGTCCGCCCCACTGCAGCCCGGGAAACTCTCGATGCCTCCATCCTGGGGCATGATGGGGGATGAGTTGATGCACAGAAACCAAAGGTAGAAGCAGCAGCCAGCCCTCCCATCGGCAGCCCGGCGCTGGGGACACGCGTTCTGTTTCTGCCCCACACTGTTTCTGCAGAGGAGAAACCTGATTAGATTAGTCGGCTTGGCTCTGGGCTTCTCGGTTCTTCACTGGGTCCTGGAGGGACAGAGCTGGGAAGAGGCTCAGGGACTTGATGGAATTAGAGGGAGACGCCGGGGAGGGGCGGGGTCTGTTTGCTCCCCCCGCCCCCCACCCAGCTTCCAAGGCTGGGGAGCGTCCACCCCGGATCTCCTGGGGAGAAACGCCAGCCCCTCATCTCCAGTTCCAGATGCCACCGCACCTCAGTCTCCTTGCGTTGCGTGGGCCTAAGAGGCGAGCGGAGATCGGGAAAGATTCTCCCCAGGACGCAGGAGTGAGAGTTCTCCGAGGCTGGAGCATCCTCCCTCACCCGCGAGCCAACCCCGCGCACGTGACGCCGCGCCCCGAGAGGCGGGCTCCGGCGCCCCCTAGCGGCCAGAGCGGAGGGGCTGCTCCCGCGGCGGCGCGGGCAGGGACCGGCTTCCGAGAGACCCCGCGACACGCAGCCCACAGCACGGTTACAGTGAGAAAGCGGAGGCGGCCTAGGGAGACTCACCCTGAGAGTCGGGCGCACGGCCGGGACCAGAACCCAAGTCTCCTGACTCCCAGGCCAGCGCCCGGCCGTCCGCAGCCTTGCCCTCGCCCTTCTCCCTGGGGAGCGCAGGTGCGGTTAGAAACCGGTGTCGCTCCTGCCCCTGCAGAGCCCCGCCTGCACGTCACATCAGCTCGCAGCTCTGATAACGCAGCAGTCCCGCGGGGGACCCGGCCGCGCTCCGATCGCCGGCGGCTGACAGTCTTCCAGGATTGTCCCGGACCTCGCCCAGCGGCCGGGGCCCTCCCGCAGCTACCCGGGTCTCCGGTCTCCACGGTAACCCGTGCTTTGCGACCTTCACTTTGCAGCGGTCGCGCTGTCGGTGCAGCGGCGGTTGCTGGGCGACCACGGGGCGGCGGGGAGCCAGGGACCCCGGCGTCCCGGGGTGGGGGGTGGGGGCGGCATGGCGCTGGCGGGGTCCCCGGGGGGTGCAGGCTGGACCTGGCGGCCGGTGGCTCGGGACGCGCTGCTGGCGAGAGCCTTCCACTCGTGCACTGAGCTGCAGGGCCGCTTCTACCTGGTGGGGGGCCTCCCGGGCGGGGGGGCGACAGAGCCGAGCGGCGACACGGTGGTCTTCGACCCCGCCTCGGGACAGGCCGTGCAGCTGGGCGCCCAGGGCTGCCCGCGGCGCAGCCACCATGACGCAGCGCCCGTGGGCGGCCGCTGGCTCTGCGTGGTGGGCGGCTGGGACGGGGCACGCCGCCTGGCCACGGTAGCCGCCCTGGACACGGAGCGCGGAGTGTGGGAGGCGTGGAGCGCGGCCCCCGGCAGCCGGCCCCCCGCCGGCCTCAGCAGCCACACCTGCACCCGCGTCTCGGACCGAGAGCTGCGGGTGGCGGGCCGGGAGGGCGGGACCCGCACTCAGCGCCGCTACGGAAGCATCTACACGCTGAGGCTGGACCCCGGCGCCCGCACCTACTGGTACGGCACCCCCTGCCCCAAACATGTCACCCGCCCTGCATCTCTGCTCTAGAAAAGCGAAGGCTCGGCGGGAGCGCGGTCACCCTCTCCGCATCCTGACCCCCCTCACCCACGCATCCACCCTGACGGTGAGAGCTGAGCGCGCTCCCTGCGGGTGTCCCCTCCTCTCCTCTGCCCACAGCGGCGTCCTGGCCTCCTTTCCGCGCTTGCCACCAGAGAGGCCAAGGGAACAGGCAGGACAGCCCTCCTCTCTTCCGGACAACCCAACTCAGGCCCGAACTTCTGCACACCCACAGCTATAAGGAAGAGGGCAGCCACACAGCCTCCCGCTCGGGTCACTGCGCCGCCCTGCTCCCGACCTCGGGGCACCCCCCAGCTCACCAGCTGCTTCTCTTTGGGGGCTGCAACTCCGCCGAACCAGAAGTAGCTGGGCACTGGGGTCCGGGGAAAATTAAGGTAATATCTGCTCACATGTTGCTGAGGGTGGAAGGGGGCTAAAATGGCAAGACCCAAATCCCTCCAGCCAACCCCTTCTTTCTCCCGGAAGGAGGAACCACCCGCCGCCCCCCGTTTTATGGAACAGCTTGCCAGGCTTGTGAGCACCCAGCAGGGCTCCCGGCAGGGGCCCCGGGGCCTGCGGCATCACTCATGCTCTGTGGTGGGGCCCTTCGCTGTGCTGTTTGGTGGAGAAACTCTGACCAGGACCAGAGACACCATCTGCAATGACCTCTATGTCTACGACACCCGTGAGGGGCGCTGGTGGAGGAGGGCAGAAGGTGGGGAGGTGGGAGCTCGGAAAGGATGGGTGGGGTAGGGAGGAGCAAAAATTAATCGGCAAGATAAAGGAATACACAGTGTATTAAACTGTGAGGAGGCCCACAGTCAAGTGAGGAGGGAAAAAACGGGCAAACCTTCGGTCTTATGAGAAGCAGAAGCCCCAGGGTGCCAAAATGCTGCCACCTCAACGAGCACTTTCTTACCCAACAGGCAAGTCCCCTTCTCTGTGGTTCCACTTCTCCAGTGCAGACCATGGGCTGAAACGTGTGGGCCATCAGACCTGCCTCTGGAACGATCAGCTTTACCTGGTTGGGGGTTTTGGTGAGGACGGCAGGACACCGAGGCCACAGGTTTGCGTCCTGGACCTATTTATCTAAAGGGCAGTGCCAAGACATAAGCCTCTGCTTTGTGGCAAACTCACACAGCGTCATCCCCAGGGCTATCTGCCTCACTTCAAAGGCTTATTAAATTTCAGTCTGAGAGTCAACATTTGTCTGTGAGTCTTTTTGTGGGGAGGGCAGTCAACAAGCAGCCACATCTTTATTTGCAAGGGAAAGGATAAAATATGGGACCTCCTCTCATATCGTGAGCCGTTAGCCTGATGGACCCAAACTCCACAAGTCCTAGGCTTTCCATGCCTCATGCAAATCCCACCCCTAACACTGGGAGAAAGCTTCAGGCTAGAGCTGAGCATTCTGACCAAAACATTTAATTAACAAAAAAATATTACAATAGCAGAGAAAATAATAATAATAACAATAAAGAGAAATTAGGAGAAGTGGGAGTCAGGGTAGAAAAAAATGCAAAGGCCTTGGTCCCTAGGAGACCAACACTCCCGCTGAGCTGGACTTAGCCCCGGCCCCTTCCGAGCTCTCCTTGGCTGCCGGCTTCTCATCTTCCCCCACCAGACGAATGTTGTGCTTTTCCCGGAATTCATTTAATTCTCTTCCCTTTGCCTGAAGCTGCTGTGTGAGTGCCTCAATGATCTTCTGTATCTAGAGGGCAAGCGACAGGGATTACATGAATAGGATTTTAGCACTCCCTTCCCCTGGCTGGGATAGACTGTGGCTGGGGACTGATGGAAGGATAATACCTCCGGCCTCACCAAATATTGACAGGAGAGCCCAGACCCTGAAAGTCTGCCTCTCTCAAAAAATCAAAAGGGATTTATAAACTTTAATGTACATAAGAACCACTTGGGCTGTCTGTTTTTAAAATGCCACTCCATGGGGCACCTGGCGGGCTCGTTGGTAAAGCATATGACTCCTGATCTCAGGGCTGTGGGTTCAAGCCCCACGCTGGGCGCAGAGATTACAAAAAAAAAAAAAAAAAAAAAAAAGCCACTCCACAGGCCCCACCTCCAATTGTCCTGAATCAGTGGGTCCAGAAATGATATAAAAATATCATTTTTTAAAAAGATTTTAATTTATTTATTTGAGAGAGAGAGAGTGAGAGAGCATGAGAAGCAAGAAAGTCAGAGGGAGAAGCAGATGCCCATGGAGACGGGGGCCGGATGCGAACTCCATTCTAGGACACCAGAATCATGACCTGAGCTGAAGGCAGTTGCTTAACCAACTGAGCCACTCAGGTGCCCCAGGAAGCAGCATTTACTTATTTATTTATTTATTTTTTAAAGATTTTATTTATTTATTTGACAGAGATCACAAGTAGGCAGAGTGTCAGGCAGAGAGGGGTGGGGAAACAGGCTCCCTGACCCCCAGAGAGGCCGATGCAGGGCTCGATCCCAGGACTCTGGGATCATGACCTGAGCCGAAGGCAGAGGCTCAACCCACTGAGCCGCCCAGGCGCCCCAGGAAGCAGCGTTTTAGACCGTCGTCCAGATGACCCGGATGCAGGCATCCACAGACTACACTGGGAGAAACACGGCTCTCGCCGCCTCCTCTCCCCCAGCTCAGCCAGGTCCCAGGGCGCAGGGCGAGAGGCTGGCAGCCCGCATCTACTCCTACTCGTCTGAGTCTAGACTTAGAGGATCATAACAAGCGCAGGCTGACAGACTGACAGGCTCCTCACGTCTCTTCAACAGGGGCTCCTACCTGCTCGCCTGCACGCGGCTCCCCCCCCGCGCCCCTCGGGCAGCCCCGCTCACCTGCTCCTTGTTGTTCTCCAGGGCCGGCAGCACCTCTTTGACCGTCCGCTCCACCAGCACGCCTCCCACCATGCGGTAGCACTTGCGGGCCTCGTCCACCTCCTTCAGGGTGTCGATCACCAGGCTGCGGGAGGGAGGGCAGGTGGCTCTGAGCAGTCGGCCCACCCCGCGGCGACCGACCGCACAACCGCCGGCCCGCTCTCCCGTCGCTGGCTGCTCCCCACCTCCTCACCTGTGCTCGTTCAACTCCATCTCCAGCTCAGCGGCTTTGGACGCCAGCCCCCGCTGCTCCTGTCGAAGGCGGTTGAAGCCAGCGATCACCTTAGGAGAGGAGAAAGTGAAGTGAGAGAGGAGACGGCGGACATGGCAGAGGCTCCAGCAAAACACAGAAGGGAAGCTCTGGACACTACCTCGGAAAAGGGGCAGAATCCAAGTCTGTGATTCCTGCCGTTAATGTCTGAATGTTAATGTCCACGCTTCCGGAGAGCACACTGCGACTGGAAACTTGCCCGCCCCTCCTGCAGCTTCCAGGTGGTGAGGGACAGGCGCAGGTGCTACAGATGGGGGTGGTGCGGGGAGGAGAGCTCCCCCAGGAGCTCGGACTTGCAGGGAGAGAAGGCTGTGAGCAAAGGCTCACAGAGTGAGGAACTCTCGTCGTAACCCTCGTTCGGGTCTGCCCAGGGGAACTGCCCTTCCTGAGCTCAGGGGGCTGCTTGTGGGGCTACTAGTCACAGGACCCGTGCTCCCCGCCACGGGGGTGGCGAGCTATCCTATACCAGAGCTTCTGTACAGGAACTGATGGGGGAGAGACACACAGGTCCGGAAGACAGCAGGAGCGAAGACAACTGTCGCGCACAGATGATCCTCGGTCCCTCTTCCTGAAATCCCCAAAGCTGCCCTAGTTCTTGAACTCGGTGTGACCCAGTTCTTGAACCTCTCTTTTCACTGTGTTCAATTCTCTGAAACACCCACTAGCCTTCCAAAATACTGCTTAAAAAGAAACCCAAGAAGTTGGCCAGAGTCTGTTTCTGTAGCCTAGAAACCCTCACTAACACAGGCTCGTGGAGACGCACTGCCCGCCCTGAAGCCTACAGGAAGAGAAATGGGGGGGGTGGAGAAAGGGGTGCAGGGGAGGCGCAGGAAGTCGCGTATGTAAAAGCCAGAGGAATAATCACCGCCAGCTTCCGGCTCCCCAGAAACGGAGCAGGGAATTAAAACGGTGTGAAAACCTGACCGGGCACCACGATCACCATCCCCATGACTCTCAGTACAGGGCTCTGAGGACTGTTTGGCGAGAATATCACATGAAAGGCAGAAAATGTAATGAGGGCAGAAAATTATGGGGGTGGGTGGGATGGGAGGGAGGGGAAAAAAAGAAAAGGAAAACCTTTTTCCAGGAGACAAAAAGACCAGGTTTCGGGTTCTGTCTCTGCCACATACCAGCTCTATGGCCTCAGACATTCTACCGTATGGCTCTCAACCCTGGATGCACGTCAGAATCCCTAGGGGAGTGAAAAGTGGTGCCTCAGGACATTTACATAATCACTGGGTGAGGCACAGGCCTCAGTATTTCTTTCTTTTTTTTTTTTTTTAAGATTTTATTTACTTATTTTGAGAGAAAGAAAGAGAGAGAGATTGCCACATGCGTGCAGGGGCGGGGCAGAGGGAAAGAGAGAACCCCAAGCTGACTGCACTGAGCCCGGAGCCTGGGGCTCCATCCCATGATCCTGAGATCCTGACCTGAGCCGAAATCAAGAGTGTAAGGAGTGGGACACTTAACCCTGAGCCACCCAGATGCCCCAGACCTCAGTATTTTTAAAAGCTCTCCCACATAATTGTAATGTGCAGCCAGAACTGAGAACCGCGGGCTTACCCGCCCTGAGCCTTAGTTCCCACATGTGAGACGCACACGGGACCTACTCTATTGAGCTCGAGTATGAAAGGACTCTGTACGCAGTAAAGTCCATTCGCTACTACCACCGCCCTCTCTCCAAACCCCCACAGCACCCACTCCAGACCCCCCCCCCCCCGCTCCGCCGAGAGCAGTGAGCTCCCGCCCGGAATGCTGCTGGAGCCTGCTCTCCCACTCACATCACGTCCAATCTCACCACCACTAAGGACCAACCACCTGAACCTCACTAGGATCTTCTATCTCTAGCTCTCTCTGCAAGGCTCATCTACAGCTAGTAAGATCCTAATGGCCACCCCGACATCCTTCTACTGCTCAAAAAGCCAAGGAACGGGTCTGACAAGGACCCTGCCACTCGAGTGGCGAGCTGCCTTCTCCCGGCTCCCTGTCCGTCTCCCTCCACTCCGTCCACTCGTTCCAACAGATGCCTTGAATCTAAATCCTCTGTAAGCCTCGCCCTTCGCCTCCACTGCCTGTACCAAACTATTCCATCCGCAGTTAGCTTTGTCTCCGCCGTCAGTGTCACAGATCAAAATAATTTTACCTATGAAAATTCCATAACTAAACCAGATTCTAGATGCTCCCTTAGCACCCCAATGACCCACTCTTCTGGATGAATGTTGTTAAATACACCAATGAAATCAGCTGAAGAGTCTAAGATTTCTGAGGCCTCAATTTATTTTCCTTAATAATTAGTAAGAATCGGGGCACCTGGACGGCTCAGTGGGTTGAGCCTCTGCCTTTGGCTTGGGTCATGATCTCAGGATCCTGGGATAGAGCCCCGCATCCGGCACTCTGCTCAGCGGGGAGCCTGCTCCCCCACACCCCCGCCTGCCTCTCTACCTACTTGTGATCTCTGTCAAATAAATAAATAAATAAATAAATAAAATCTTTAAAAAAAAATTAGTAAGAATTTACCTCTCAACCACCAATTTAACATAACTAAAGGCAAAGGAGAGATTTTTTTTAATTTTTTTTAATTTTTTTTTTTTTAAAGATTTTATTTATTTATTTGTCAGAGAGAGAGAGAGGGAGAGAGAGCGAGCACAGGCAGACAGAATGGCAGGCAGAGGCAGAGGGAGAAGCAGGCTCCCTGACGAGCAAGGAGCCCGATGTGGGACTCGATCCCAGGACGCTGGGATCATGACCTGAGCTGAAGGCAGCTGCTTAACCAACTGAGCCACCCAGGCGTCCCAGAGATTTTTTTTTTTTAAATTCCAATTCTTCTTCAAACATTCTTGCTAATTAACAACCCCTATTTCCTCCTGGTCCAGTTTATGAACCTGTAATCAAATGTCAAACTAGAATAAATCTATTTAAATGTGTGAGTTATCCACAGTTACTATGGAAAATTTCAGCCATTGGTGCCCTTAAAGAAAATGAAATCTCTTAGCAGCCGACTGTAACCCAACTGGAAATTAGATGCCGAATGAACTGGTATTAACGTGCCATCTCTGGGCTCTGCCACATG